TGTGGAACTCTTACTTAACCTAGTGAGCATTTATTTATGTAAATAGTCCCACTGAAGTCACCTGTGTAAATGCTCACCAACATGAGTAGAGGCTCCATGGTCTGATCTGCTGAGAAAATTTACTTTTTTCTTTTTAGTGTTTCAGATTAAAAATCTAAGACTATGTCATGCCATTGTCTTTTAGACGGTGAGTTTTAGCGCACACTAAAGGTTCCCTAGTGCTCTTTAACAAAGTCCTGTTTCAAAGAGCATTCCATTAGAGCACACTGGAAGGGTCTACATTGGGGTAATGAATAGGCGGACTGCGGGCCAAATTCAGATCGCCAGATGCTTTTGAATGGACCGCAAAATCTTTTATTTACTTATTATCATGATTGTTATTGAGGTGTGAAAAATGTTTTTGTGAAGTCTGGACCTTGACTATACCTTGACCAAGAAATTTGGATCTTGACAAAAAATAATTGATTACTCCTGGTCTACATGGACCAGTTAAAACGCAACGTATCACTGTGCTTCAGAAATCACATCCCTGTAGAGTGCATTACCCAACCATGTAGACAAGCCCTCAGTTTTCAAATTTGCTTTGCAATTTGGTTTTAAAACCTCCTTCCTGTAAATTTTCTAGCTTCATCCTTGGGGTTGACCTCCATGTTATATAATATCATATATCACAAAGACTTTTCTGTCCTACAGCTGTGAGTTGCAGAGAGCATTTAAACAAAGCAAGCTTTAGATTTAGAGCAGTTGTCTGGCTGATGGTCACTTTCTCATACAGGAAGAGATTAACCCATCAATTCTGAGGGCAAATTCTTGCCAAGTTACACTACAGTATAGGGAGTCTTATGCTTCTGTCAACAGGAAGGACTTTTGTCTCTTTATCTCAGAAGTAGAGCAAAACAGAAATAAAGTGGAGAAAAAACTTTGTGGGAAATGCTTTGTTAATCCTTAGAATGTTAACATTCCCCAAAGACATGCCATTGCCACCCTGTGATTAAAGCCACTTCTGCTTTCACCTGTTTTAATTCCTTGTTTATAGTGGTATTGCTAAAGAAAAATCAGAAGGTAACAACGAGAATAAATATTTTTAAATACATCTTCACTAATGCATGTTCACTACCATGGTCTTGCAGGATCAGTTTATCAAAGTTATAATTGTGACATATGAAAACATCCTCTCTTCCCCCCCGACCCCAAACATAACTGTTCTGTTACTGAACAAGGGTCATTACTCTGAATCCATTTCAGACACATCAGCTACAGAGAAAAAATATCAAATATTATAAACATGATATAAATGGGGATGTAAAACTAGTAACATCTGGGAAGAACATCAACTGCCCAGCTTGTTATTCCAACCCATAGGCAGACTCCAGGTCTTGTACCTATAGTGTACTCACAGCCAATCTCTTTTAGCAGGAGTCAGGTTAGACTCTAGCAGACTTGATTCAACCGTTTGGTGTTTTTGCCAAAGCAGCACTATTTCAGTTTGATCATGTGATACTATAGTGACACCTAGATTCTAGTTAGGTTAATTACACCCAATTTCCCCTGTGAGTGCCCTGCAGTGAATATACCTAGAGCCTATTTTCTTCTTGGGGCATTGGCTTCAGTAGTCAAAAATTCCTGGTTCTAAGCAAAACCTGCATTTTGCATGAGCACTTATTGCCCTTAAACCTCATTAACTGAACCATTAACAAGTCCATGGGGCCGGATGCGCTGCATCCAAGAGTGCTAAAAGGAGTTGGCGGATGTGATTGCAGAGCCATTGGCCATTATCTTTTATAACTCAAGGCGATTGGGGGAGGTCCCGGAGGACTGGAAAAAGGCTAATGTAGTGCCCATCTTTAAAAAAGGGAAGAAGGAGGATCCTGGGAACTACAGGCTAGTCAGCCTCACCTCAGTCCCTGGAAAAATCATGGAACAGGTCCTCAAGGAATCAATTCTGAAGCACTTAGAGGAGAGGAAAGTGATCAGGAACAGTCAGCATGGACTCATCAAGGGCAAGTCATGCCTGACTAATCTAATTGCCTTCTGTGACGAGATAACTGGCTCTGTGGACAAAGGGAAAGCAGTGGACGTATTGTTCCTTGACTTTAGCAAAGCTTTTAACACGGTCTCCCACAGTATTCTTGCCAGAAAGTTAAAGAAGTATGGGCTGGATGAATGGACTATAAGGTGGATAGAGTCGGACGGAAGCATCCCATGCACCGCTACAGACTAGGGACCGAATGGCTAGGCAGCAGTTCTGCAGAAAAGGACCTAGGGGTTACAGTGGATGAGAAGCTGGATATGAGTCAACAGCGTGCCCTTGTTGCCAAGAAGGGCAAATGCATTTTGGGCTGTATAAGTAGGGGCATTGCCAGCAGATCGAGGGACGTGATCGTTCCCCTTTATTCAACGTTGGTGAGGCCTCATCTGGAGTACTGTGTCCAGTTTTGGGCCCCACACTACAAGAAGGATGTGAAAAAATTGGAAAACGTCCAGCGGAGGGCAACAAAAATGATTAGAAGACTGGAACACATGACATATGAGGAGAGGCTGAGGGAACTGGGATTGTTTAGTCTGCGAAAGAGAAGAATGAGAGGGGATTTGATAGCTGCTTTCAACTACCTGAAAGGGGGTTTCAAAGAGGATGGCTCTAGACTGTTCTTAGTGGTAGCAGATGACAGAACAAGGAGTAATGGTCTCAAGTTGCAGTGGGGGAGGTTTAGGTTGGATATTAGGAAAACCTTTTTCACTAGGAGGGTGGTGAAACACCTGCGTTACCTAGGGAGGTGGTGGAATCTCCTTCCTTATAAGTTTTTAAGGCCCGGCTTGACAAAGCCCTGGCTGGGATGATTCAGCTGGGGATTGGTCCTGCTTTGAGCAGGGGGTTGGACTAGGTGACCTCCTGAGGTCCCTTCCAACCCTGATATTCTATGATTAGTTAGAATGTAATAGTCTAAACTATAGTGAAATACCAACTACTTATTTAGGTTGGTCCATCTATAAATACTTGGAATATAAAATAGCTACAGTACATGCTTACGGTCATCTTTTAATTAATGGGTGACATACCATCAATCTGGAAGATTGATTGATGGCTCAATGCTCATTGTTTTCAAGTCCTTTCTGTCTTGCCACTACCCTTCCACATTTTTCCTCATCTCACATATGCTGCTAGTTGAGCAGCTCATTGCTTACGTAGAGTCAACCCAGAGGAGCATATTTTCCTAATTGTCAAACCGTGACAGTATAATATGAACAAATATCTCAGCTTCCCCTGCCAGCTCCACCTGAGAGATCCGCATTACACTTTGTCTGGGATAAAGCAGCCTGTGATTAATCTTAAACCCTTTTCATGCTGAGCACCTCCTTCCCTCACAGAGTCACAGTTAATAGTGGGGCATGTCAGAGCACAGAGAAGCTTAACATTACATTTTTTCCATGTAGTCTAATAGGTATTCTCCTGTTTTTAAAATGATTCCATATTTCACAATCCTTTGCTTTGACGATGAGACTATATTGCATCTCACAGTTGACTAAGTCATTGCAAATAGACATCAGTTGTCATTTATTATTTAGCGGCTTTCTCTTGGACCACTCTCTCCACTATGCTCAACAAGTGAACCTAACTTAGATGGCCACTTGCTGTCCACCATTAGCACCACGTAGACATCTAAAAGGTCAGTTTTAAACCCTTGTTGTTGTATGGGGCAGTAGCTTGTGTATTCAGAACCAATACATTTGTCTTTTGGATACCTGAATCTCAGCACCAGAGTTTTAAAGAAGCAAGTGCCAGTTGTAAGGCTATTGAACATTTTAGTGGGCATCGTGCAGTAGGTTTGTTTTCTTGCAGAACGACAACCCATGGAGAGGCTTTAATGTTGTCATTTGCAGGTGCAGCCCAACAGAGCGCACACTACATTACTATTGATCTGGCTTAAGCTCCAAGAAAGGAAAACAGTTATGCTTGTCTATACATACATAACCTACTCAGCGGGTGTTACCTGTGTTGGAGTGAGTGGTTGCTGCCTCATAAGCAGCTCAGCTATGGAGCCTTTCTCTGCTGAAGCCTGGACTTCAAATGAACCACTGAAATACCAATAGATGGGAGCAGTTTCTATATTTATTTTTGGAATATGCCATAGTTCTTACAAAAGTTATAATCAAGGACCAAAGTATAATTTATACTACGCTAACTCCAATGATATTAAACCAATGTAATAGAAGAATTTGGTTTTTTAGCATTCCTTCTCACAATGAAACAGCCCTTTTTTCTGTTCCACTGCATGCATAGCCCCTATTCATAAATAGTGGGCTCAGAATATTTCGCCAAACACTACTAATATAACAGAGTGGGCTAACATCTCAGAATCTCTGGGTTTGCTCGTTACATGATAGTTAGAAAACCACACTTGCAGTTGTACTTCTGAGAAGTAATTAATAAGGCCATTTAGGAAAATAATACTTCGCAATTGTTTAACATCGTCAACCCAATGATCTCAAAATGTTTTACAAATATTAACAAATGAGGTTACACAGCACTCCTGTGAGATATGCATTATCATCCCTATTGTACAGAGAAGGAAACTGAGGCACAGATCTTAAATGACCTCCCCAAGGCACCACAGACTTCCTGTGAAACATTTGGGAATAGAACATCCTTTTCTGTTGCCACAAGACCATGTTTTCCCACAGTAATGCAAACTGTGTAAGTCCCAAGGCAGTCTCAAGCAATGTGCCCATTTTGCACTTTGGGGGACCAACTCTGCCCTCAGATAGGCATGCATGACTCCATTTGACTTCAGAAGGAGCTGCCTACACATGTCCGATAGCAGAACTGAGCTCCTGGTAGTGCAGAGAAGTGGCAATGAGAGTTTACCTAGTTATTATTCTTGCTTGTGCTTTGCTGTATGTGTTTAAAAGAATCATTTTTAGGTTGCTGAATTCGCTGAATATTATTCCTCTCTACGAAGGGAGGAATTCTAAGTAGTCTTTTTTTTTTCTCCACTTTACAGATTCAGAGTCGGGGAACAATGGATAAAAGAGTGCTTACCAGATTGTCCAATGAATTTGGCAAAGAGGCTATTATATTGAATACCCTTCTCCATGTGTTTTATATCTTTTTTTTTTTCTTTTGGGTCTTGCTTTACATCAAACTAAAACAAGTGTGTACATGTCACACTGTCCTTTTCAGGGGCTCTATTACTGTCTTTAGAAGTGGAAACCCCAATTGATAATTACTTTAAAATAACATGGAACAAAGCAGCTAGTAGTGAAGAAAACATGCCATTTCTATTGATTATATCCTAAAACTGCTCACCGTAACAGAAAACAGATGACTTGCAGGCACTGTGTGTTTTTGACTGGCCTTCTGTAACCTTTACAACCAGAAGCTACAGAAATGCATGTGGTTGCTTTATTGTGTACTCTGGACCCATACTACATTTTCATTCTGTAATTCAGAGGTTTCTCCTGATTAGACCTTGGGTTTGTACAGTAAAGTTAAATGATCGTATTTACAGTTTACACAGGAATCTTCTATAGCGTACTTGTAAATTTATTGATTTACTGTATGTGATGACAAACCTATTAGTGTACCGTCTCCAGCTTGAGTGGGACAAACTTTCAGTAAAATAATTTTGTTTATCCCTTAACATTAGTGTACACTAATTTTTAAAGAACAAGAAATACACAAGTTCTTTTCTTTTTGTGGGGAAGAGAACAGGTCCTGGAACTAGGGGTGCTGCCACACCCCCTGGCTTGAAGTGGTTTCCATTATATACAGGGTTTACAGTTTGGTTATATGGCTCTTAGCATCCCCACTATACAAATTGTTCCAGCACCCATGGGGAGAAGGATGAGAGAAGGAAAAACTCACAATCCTGACTTGAACCAGAGGAAAAGACTGATGTAGTAAGACATTGAACCATTAGTTTTATCCACAGAAAGCAACTAGAACACTTATCCATCCATTTGGTATATTGCTATGTGTTGGTAATAAATGGCATTTTGCAGCATTTCCTGAATAGTGGAACATGAGGGGGAAGAGACTGAATGCTTCACAGAATTAGATGCTGTGTAATCAGCCCGGAGCCCTCAGGATTTCACACAACTTTGAACTGATCGATACAGATTTGCTGTAGCTTTCCTTTCAGGCAATGTTCAGATCTGTAAATGACAAATTTCTCTTTGATTTACATGGTGGGGTCTCCTCCTGCTCACAGGGTGCATATGGCCCCATGGAGCACCCCACTCCTTTGGGACCTGCAGAGGCTATTCTGTTGGTTTGGGGTTCACTCAAGGAGAAGGGGCAGACAATTACACTGCCTTCCCCCTACTCTGGCCACACAGACCTTAGGCAGAAAAGAGAACATATAAGGGCTACATTATCCTTTTGATGAAGCCTCAATAACCCCTGGCAGATCTTGTGGGCTGTAGGTGTAGGGGCTGAGGTCCCAGGCTATGCAGCTCCATTAAAATTGCAGTGTTGGGAAATGGGGGGTGCAGTTAAGAAGGGCCACAGTTGGAGCAGAGGCCCACTTTCTGGGGATCGCCTCAATTTGGGGGTTGGTCCAGAGTTCATTCCGTAAGACAACCTCCAGCCCCAGACAGAACAACAGGAGAAGAAATCCAGGAGGGAATCCTCATCGAGATTTTCTCCAAAAGATTTGGAGTGGGTTTTACTGCAGGAGATGGTCGACGTCTGAAGAATTTTATGGCAGTCTCTAAGACACAATACCAGGATGGAAAAGCTTATGCCCATCCCCTGGATTTTGGAATTCTAAGCTCCAGTTGGGCATTTTATCTCTGACTACTGGAACATCAATTTGTTGCAGGCTCTGAAAATCCAATAAATGAATAATTATGTTAATAGAAGATTTTTTCTTTCAAAAAAATAAAAACCAGTTAAAGTAAAAAATTCATAATAAGGGCCCAATTTTGTGGATGCTTTTGCATGTGAGTAGTCCCATTCATGTAAATTAGTTTAACTGCATGTGACTAAAGTTACCCAAATGTGTGAAGATTAGCAGGACTGGGAACTATGGGCAAGATCCTCAGCTGGTGTAAAGCAGTTTAGCTTCTTTGGAGTCACATACAATAATTACTAAGGTGATTAAGAGGAAAGCTAGAAGCAAAAACATTTACTCCAACTCACTCCTCCTTTCTGCGTAAAGTCTAGTTTTACAGTAGTGTAATTGAGCTCAGAATCTGACCGGAGGTGCTGAGCTGCAATCCCTATACAGCTTGTCTACATTACCAAATGGACTACTGCTGACACCGGGTGCAGCTAAATCCGTGCACAGTGTGGCTTGTCATTAGCTATACTACCATCTAAACCACATTCGGCAGCAGTTCAGCTGCCCCTGCTGACACCCACTGTCAGTAACAGGTAACTTTCTAGTGTAGGTTTTAGAAACACCAGTTCTGGATCGTGTAGTGATAAACAAGGTGGCCTGGAGCTTGGATATCAACTGAAAATATATTAACAGATTATAACACCACTGTAGCAATTAGCATGGTTATCAGAACAAGAACCTTAGCTACACAATGAGAATTTTATAGTTGTTTAACTAGCTATTAGTCACATAACATCGTATAGCTTGTGGGTTGAGTGAAGAGTACCTAGTAGAATTGTCATTGTCTATGAGTAAAATCACTTATTAAGCATTCACCATATCCACTGAGCATTGTGTTCCTCCATTATCCTGCTCAAGTAGTGGCTCCTGAGTCAGACTCATGGCTGGATTCTGGGAACTGGAAACAAAGATCTTGTGGTTACTTGTTTTGTACAAACCAGTTCTAGTCAGAGGAATGGTTTTCACCACTGGGTGAAATGAAAATTGCCACCAACTGTTGCTTTTTTATTTTTTAAAACAATGCACAGTAATTGCAATCCATACGGCACTCTATAAAATACTATAGAAACCAGAGCTACCAGTAATAGGCTGGCAAAACCAGTGGGTTTTTTTAAAATTTATTTATTTGGCAATGTGAGTGGAATCATTTTTTGTTCTCCTTTTGAATGGCCATTTTGCTATGAAAAGCTGTTTTCAGATGTTTGCAAAGAATGACTTCCTGGGCAAATGCACAGTAGTGTCTCCCGCTCCCTGCACCCAGATAAATTTACCCAGAAATGCTGTATCCACTATGAAAATAGTCAAATATATTGTTCCATCAGATATGTTTCTGAGTGCTCATGAAAATCATTTTTTCCCTTGGAGCTGGGCACAATGCAAAGAGTGCTGATAAACAGTGCTGATAAAACCTCATTCCTTGATGAGCTGCTCCTGCTAGAGAGTGATTTGAATCCTCTACCTTGTGGTACTGAGTTTGCCATAGCAAATTTTAGGCACAAAATCACAAGTCATGCCACATTTATTTTAAATCACAGATTGTATCAAAATGTCACCTATCTATGATCTCACCCTCCGCCCCCCCACCTCCAAAAAAACCCCTGATGTCTCCTTTTTTCAGTCTCATTTTTTACTTCATAGCCATCCCTTATCTGGCAGATTCTTCAAAGGACCCCTGCTTCACTTCTGCGACAAAGGCATCACTGAGGACTCTTCCCCTACTGCAGAGAAACCTGCAGCATCCTTCCTGCCTGCAGAGGAGAGTGACAGCAGGAAGTCATGGGGGCTTTGGGATGAAAGGGAAGTTATGGACTCTTTAAGCAACTCCCTGCTCTACATGTATGTCAACTCCCCTGTCATACTATTCTTTACAGCAGTGGTTCTCAAACTTTTTTTTTTTCGCAGACCACTTGAAAATTGCTGAGGGTCTTGGCGGACCATTTAATGAGCTTTCCAAATGTTGTTTGTACGGTTAGCTAACTATCGTAAAGCGCTTTGGATAAAAGTGCTATATAAAAAAAACTAAGTAATAATTAACGTATTTTTGTTCTACAAATAAAAGCACACAACTCATATTTTAATATCAGTAGTCTCTCCCCCGCCATGGCAGCCACTGAGCTGGGCTGGGAAGGAGTGTGTGGGGGGGGTCTCTCCCTCTCTCCCCCACCGCAGCAGCTTGGGCTAGACTAGGCTTGGGTGCAAAGTGAGACTATAACAAAAATAACCTCATAGAGTTAACTAGCCATTCCCTTAAAGCAGGTTTATCTGGTGCAAGTTTTAAAAAATGACAATACTTATTCCATCTTATTTCCACCATTTCTTATGTTCCTTTTGCTACCACAAGCAGCTTCTGCCTCTGAAAGTTTTAATTTAAAAACACTTCTCATTCTGGACTTTATAGTTTAAAACCAGCATTGTAATTGAGATCCCTCCATAACGTAAACCATCTACTTGAGATCAGGTCAAGTCACCCTGAAAGCTTTAAAATTCCAGAGTGAGGATAACTCACATGTCCTTTCCCCACTCTGCAATGTAGTGTTTCTCAGAAAGATTTCCATTGCTGTTTGCCATTAAACATCATGGCCCGTTGTGACTTTCCTGTCAACCCATCAGCTTCTCTTTCCCTATTCTCGTGAGGAGTGCACTGGGGGAAAAAAAATCAACTCCTGCTACTCTTAGCTTTTCTGCTTTCAATTTCCAGCTCTGTTTTTTTCTTAGTCAACAAGCAAAAGCAGAAAGCTTCAGTAGGACACATAGCACCAAATTCTGCTCTGATATGCAGTCTCACTGAGATCAGTTGGATTGTGCTGGGTATAAACCAAGGCAAAATTTGATCCAGGCCGTCCAATGTTAATCAAAATTAATGGTCAGTATGATCGACACATGACATTTTGATTAAAAAACTAGAAAGATATAACATTAACATAGCACACATCAAATGGATTAAAAGCTGGCTAACGGATAGATCTCAAAATGTAATTGTAAATAGGGAATCATCACTGAATCGTTGTGTTTCTAGTATGGCCCCACAGTGATTGGTTCTTTGCCTTGTGCAATTTAACATTTTTATGAAGAATCCGGAAGAAAACATAAAATCATCACTGATAAAGTTTGTAGATGACACAAAATATGGGGGAGTAGTAAATAATGAAAAGGATATGTCACTGATACAGAGCAATTTGTATTGGTTAGTAAGCTGGGCACTAGCAAACAATAGGTTTTAATATGGCTAAATATAATTGCATACATCTAGGAACAAAGAATGGAGGCCATACTTACACAATGGGAGACTCTATCCTGGGAAGCAGCGGCTCTGAAAAAGATTTGGGTGTCATAGTGGATAATCAGCTGAACAGGAGTTCTCAGGGTGATGCTGTGGCCAAAAGGGCTAATGCAATCCTTGGATGTATAAACAGGGGAATCTAGAGTAGGAAGAGAGTTTATTTTACCTCTGTATTTGGCATTGGTGCAATTGCTGCTGGAATACTGTGTCCAGTTCTGGTGTCCACAATTCCAGAAGGATGTTGATAAATTGGAGAAGGTGCAGAGAAGAGCCACAAGAATGATTAAAGGATTAGAAAACCTGCCTTACAGAGACATACCTAAGGAGCTCAACCTATTTAGCTTAACAAAGAGAAGGTTAATGCGTGACTTGATTACCGTCTGTAAATACCTGCTTGGGGAACAAATATTAAATAATGAGCTCTTCAATCTAGCAGAGAGTTATAACATGATCCAACGGCTGGAAGTTAAGCTAGACAAATTCATACTGGAAATAAGGCATACATTTTTTTTTAACAATGAGAGTAATTAACCATTGGAACAACTTACTAAGGGTCATGGTGGATTCTCTATCACTAACAATTTTAAAATCAAGTTTAGATGTTTTTCTAAAATATTTGTTCTAGGAATTATTTTGGGGCAGTTCTATGGCCTCTGTTATTTAGGTCAGACTGGATGACCACAATGGTTCCTTCTGGCCTTGGAATCTATGAAGCTCATTTTTACATATAAGCAATATTTAAGCTTGGTCCTGAAAACGGCTGCTTTCCTGAATCAGGGCCAGAAAACCAAGTTATAAAATTGATAAATAAATATTCTAGGCTCAGCTGACCAAATTCAACCATCCCAAATTCCAGCCCCCAAATCTTCCAACTCTTATTGAGGAAACCCCAGAACGCTGGCTCCAAGTCTGACATACCTCATAAACTGGTGGAACTGGCTGTCAAAATATAAATACCCCCTTTGAAAAATGTGCACTGCTCATTGACTGAGATTTAAAGAGAAAAACAAACAAACAGCCGCCTCACTCTGGGGGCAGCAAAAATCAATCTGTAAGGTCCCTTGACTATCTGCAGAGCAGCCATTAACAAACACTCACAACTCCATCAACTGGGTGATAGCAGAGACGGGACACACACAAGCAGAGAGGAAGGCTAAATCTGAGTCCAGCTCCTCAGGACCATTAGGGACCCAAGGTAAAAAAAACCTTGCATTTGCCAACGGAAAAAAAAAGAAAAACATTGATGGGGAAAGGATTTTTATTTCCAAGTTTCTAGAAGGATCTTACAAAACATGGAGAGTTAAAAAAAACCCACATATAATTGATAGGGTCAGGGTCCCTTTAAGCATTTCTTCACATTATTCTGACGGTGATAGGAAATACCATTTAACTGTGTATGAATTTTTTCGGTAATCCCAATCACTGTTAACTGATTACATGAATCTTTCCACGCAGAATTTCCACTAGATTGTGCAGTTCTGAGTTTGTTATTTCGCCTTGAAAGAAAAAGAATTGATCAGAAACCTAAAAAAGCCCTTAAAAAAAAAGTGCTGTAATCCCCTGCTATTTCAGTACAGGGACCCCCCTGAGCTCTGCAGCCCCAACCAGCAGCACCGCCTTCCTTTTCCAGCCTGGGGCCCCCCCACAGCTATGCCAGCAGACCTCTATTCAGACTAAGCAACCCTCCTGCTATTTGAGTTCGGAAGATCCCTAGGGAAGAGGCTGCCAATGCTAACAGTGTTGTTTTGTGTGTGTGATGTACCTAAATGCCCACTGGGGATTAGGATGAGATCAGCACATTCATCTTCATCCTCATCAGGTTTTTCCACCTAGATCTTCAAAGCTGAAAGGCTAGTGCATTCATCCGCTGAGCCACACAGCTCCCCCCCTCCCCCCCCCACGTCTGCGTACAAACAAACAGCTCTGAATTGGACAAATCCTCAGGAAATAAGCACAGAGAAAGCCACAACAAAGAAATGGAAGTGGGGCAGTTCCATTATCTGTAAATTGCCCCTCACTGTGGACTATTGTGGCAGATTTTAGACACCATCCAAAATAAACAAAAACCAACCAAAAAGACAAAAACTAAAAAAATCCCAAGAAAACAGTTTTACAAACACTTAATTTCCAGCTTAAGTGAAATCAACAAATTTTAAAATTCATACAGGTGCCATAATAATTAGAGTAACGAAAATTAGCTATTTCCCATTGTCTTTAGAACAACAAAAATTCAAGCCTCGGAGGCAGAGGGCTAAAATCAAATGTCTCTTACAGGGGCATGCTGTCTCGCTTCAGAGATGTTGACGGCCTCCTTTACGTCCCATTCCTATCAGAGATCACCCCTCAAGGGCTGAATGTCTCTCGCTGTCTCCAGTCATCTGGTATCCCAACTCTGGCAAAGCGTTTGTCGCTGAAGCCAGATGGTGGAGTGGAAAAGCTGAGCTCCATTCCTGGCTTCTTCCCCAGGAAACCCAGGCTTCTCTTATTGCACAGCTCAAAAGCATGAAAGAAGGGTATTGGCCATGCATTGCCTTCCTCCTTCCTAGCTACACTTAACACATGAAACAGGCAACCACAAACTCCCCGGCCATCTGTGTAAAGAAAGGCATGTATTCAGCACGCATTCAATACAGTATGGCGAGACGCTGTCATTTCCCTTTAAAAGACCCAAACATCCAAAATCAAGCCCACCCCACTTTTATCCCAGTCCGAATGAGGCAACCAATTCCAAACACAACAGAAAACAAACTAAACGCTCTGGGTTGTTTCTCCCAAGAAACATGATTGGTCTGAAAGTCAGCAGAGATTAACAGCAGAATGGCTGGTATGGAATGGTCCATGCTGGGGATGGAGGGGAACAGAGAGAGAGAGAGAGAGACTGAGGCTATTAGTCTGGCAGCTCTGCGGCTGGGTACTGGAAGAGGGAGAGCAGTGAGTGTACGGGAATGCTAAACTGTATTATACAGGTTTCAGAGTAGCAGCCGTGTTAGTCTGTATCCGCAAAAAGAAAAGGAGGACTTGTGGCACCTTAGAGACTAACAAATTTATTTCAGCATAAGCTTTCGCGAGCTACAGCTCATGTCATCAGATGCATTCCAACCACTAGGTGGCGCTATGTGTAAAATACCTTATTTAAATGAACCTCAGTCATATCTGGCAGAGCATTAAAGGATCTTCTGATGAACACATCTGGTATGTATAAGCAAACTCTGTAGCCATATCTGGTACAGAAGAACATGACCTGGTGACAGGAGTAAAATAAGAACAGAAACAGAAAGAAAACAGCAACAAAGGTTTCAAATAGAAGGAACAAAGCAACAAAGGTTGCAGGATCTCAATGCCCCAGAGAACTTCAGCTTTGACCAACCTTCACAATGGACAGACTAAAAACAATATTTTCCAAGTTTCACATTGCTACCAAGCTCTACAAGGAAACTGATGATATACAGGTATCTTCTTTAATTTATGCTATGGGGAAACAAGCAGAACATATCTTTAAATCCTTTGACTTTACTGAAGACAAAGATGACCATGAAAGGGTTCTGGCTATGTTTGATGCATACTCTATACCTCAGAGAAACGTGGCTTACAAAAGAGCATTGTTTTCACCAGAGAATTCAAGAACCAGGGGAAAATGTTGAATGCTTTATAAGAGCTCTGCATACAATGGCTGAAAACTGTAATTTTGGAAATGCAAAATATGAAAATATCAGAGACAGGCTAGCTACTGGGTTAACAGATTAAAAACCTTTCACTGCAGCTACAACTGAAGAGAGATTTAACCCTAGCCACAGCTATACAGAGAGCAAAGCATTCTGAGCTGGTAAGACAGCAAAACCCAGAACAAGTTGACAAATTTGAAAAACCTACTGGCTTAGAAACTGTAAAAAGACACTTGAGTGCTAAAAGTCGTCACCACAAAACCCCTGAAGCAGGGAGAAAGAACTTCCAGGCTAAGAGGGACAAATTCCAGCCTACGTGCACACGATGTGGACAAAGTCATATCCCAAGAGATGATGCACATCCAACTAGAGGCACACAGTGTAATAAATGCAGGAAATCTGGACATTTTCCAGCTATTTGCTGCACCAAAGCAATCAGGGAGGTGACTCATATTACAGACAATCAAGAGCCATGGTTTCTGGGATCTACCACTTGTGATGACACAGAACCTGCTTGGAGAGTGAAACTGAATATTCATAGTAAGACTATTGACTTTAAAATTGATGCAGGAGCTGATGTCACAGTCATCGCACAAGAGACATACAATCACCTTCCACACCTCCCAGAGCTCAGGTCACCTGACACAGCTATGACTAGCCCTGGCAGTATTCTGAACTGCATGAACCAGTTCACCACAGAAACAACATGGCAGCCATGATAGGCCTAGTGAGAAAGGTAGAAGAACTCAATGGAGGATTTGACGATATTGGACATTTGAGAGGCGATTCAGTATAAATCAACTTAAGAAACAATGCCGAACCATACAGTGTACAAGCATCTCGACCAGACAGACCTGGCAAGAGACTAGCTGCAGATTTATGTGAATTCAGAGGACATCATTACCTGGTCATTGTGGACTATTTTTCCAGATATAAAGAAATAATGTACTTGAAAAACAGAACATGTAGCAGGGTTATCGAGGAACTGAAGTGCACTTTTGCTCACTTCAGTATTTCAGGACAACTAGCGATGGACAATGGACCACAATCCACTGCAGCAGAATTTAAGTCATTCCAAACAAAATATGATTTTGATCATATTACTAGCATCCCACTTTACCCACAAGTGAATGGAGAGATGAGAGAGCTTTACAGGCAGACAGGAAAGTCCTACAGCAGGAAGATCTATTCATTGCTTTTCTGAGTTACAAATCAGCAACAGCAGCTACTGTTGATACAGTCCAGATACAGTCCAGCACAATTGCTGATGGGAAGACAACTCACAACTTCTGTTCCAACTTTGGAAAAGAACATATTCCCGAAGTGGCCACACATGAAGAGAGTAGCCAAAGTGGATAAAAAGGCTAAAAGAGCTTATGAACACTTTTACAACAAAGGTCACCCAGAGAGCTGCCAGGTCGAGAACCTGGTGACTGTTCATATCAAATTGGATGGAGAAAAAGGGTGGGCAAGTCCAGCTGCCGTAAAAAAAAAAAGAGTTCAGCGCCCAGATCATGTGTAACCGAGACCGACAGTGGAGAGTTCAACAGAAATCGTTGACATCTACAGTTTGTTCCTCAGAAAGAACAATCAACAGAGCAAACTCTGCACATGGCAGATGCAGGACGACTCCTCAAAGATTCCAAACCTACCATTGCCAGTTGCTGCAACTAACAGCCAGCCAGCTGACCAAGTGTTACGTGTTTGGGTTGTGTAATTAGAAGAACAGTATGATTCGGAGGCACTTAGACTGATATGTACTGAACTTCAAAGACAAAGGGATAGTTTAAATATTGTAAATGTAGGAATGTAGAACTTAATGGGGGTGAAGTCATGGGAATGATCAACTGTTACACTGCTCAGCCACCACACGGCAGTGTGTGTAAAATACCTGATTTAAACGCATGTCAACCATCGCTGGCAGAGCATTAAAGGAACGTATAATGAACACATCTGCTGTGTGTAAGGAAGCTCTGTAGCCAGTCCATATCTGGCACAGGAACATTTTTATAGAGTCAGGGGCCTTTCATTCCTTACTCTGAGCATCCTGTCAGAAATCTGCAATCAGACCCACACTGACCGGGCTGCTTAGTGGCTCAAGTTTCATTGTAGCCTAGCAGCTTTGGGCATAAGCCACTTATTGGCACATGAGACAAAGCGGGTGAGCTCATCTTCCAGTTCTCTAAATCATTCAGGCAAGGTAGAAGTGGCTCTGTTTGAGTCCACGGGAGAGGAGAGATGGGGATGGGCAAAGGATTCCGTCTCTGACACCCTAATGGAATAAATATAATTGCACCGTGACATGATGAGAAGTCGCAGGAAAAACGGCAGGGTGGGAATGAAGACTAAGTGGAAAACCATTCCCTTGCAGCCTCCCCCCCACGCCCCAATCAGACACAGTGCTAGAAGAGAAGGGAGTGCTCACACCTTTGTATCTGGTGGGGGGGATGGGAAAGGAGGGCCTCTGATCTGATCCCAGGGGAGTTAGTGGGATGCCCATGCTGCCATTGCTGGAGGGAACGTGGGCCGTGGCCATGCTCTGCTAACTGAGAGGGATGCAGTAACCCAGGGAGGTGTGATGGAGATAGCTCAGACCCAGACGCTTGGGGAGGGGTGGGGAACCCTCCCACCTGGATAAGTGGAGTGGGAAGGGTTGGGTTTAGAGACTGCTCACCTGGGAGGAAGTTCTCTCTGGACACCAGCCTGTCTCCTATGTGGCCTCGGGGAGCCAGTCCAGAGAGCCACATAATGGCCCTAAATGCTCGTGGCTATTAGTACCTCAGGGTCGCAGGTGCCTTGGCTCCTGTGTAGGTCTCTGAAAGGCTCTAACTGGGTGATGCTCTGCCCTCCCGCTGCAGCCTAGAGACCGCCTTCCCCGAACTCCCATGGGTGTTGCAAACCCTGTTGACCACCCAGGGGATACGAGAGGGAGACGCGACTGGCCCCGGTGTTTGATTTCCTGGTGACAAAGGCCCTCGTTCCACCCCAAACCCTTTTTGGCTCTTCTTCCCTGTCCCAGCCGCAGTGATTCTGCTGTTGTCCTTTGCTGACCTTGTGTATTTGGTGTGGAGATAGTGTGCCTGGTGCTCTCAGCCCCTCCCCCTTCCCCCCAACTCCCCCCATTAGTCTTGCTGTTCATTCATCTCCATGTCAGACACCAGAATGTTCTTCTCGGCAGATTCACTGGGGCTGGAGGTGGTGCGGCTGTATCGGGCGCTCTCAAAGGTCCCCCGCTCGGAGCTCCGCCGGCGCTTGTACAGGTAGACGGCGAGGGCGACCAAAGCGCACAGCGCTAGTGCGGAGAGGACAACCACAGCAATGGCGGTCGTGTTGTCTGGGAGAGCTGAGGGAGAGGGGAAAAGCACATGAAACCCACACCACTAGGCCCAATCCTGGTCACCGTCTCCACTGAACTGAGGGGAAGCTAAGCACAGCAAGGGGAGCGGGCTTGCCCAAGGTCACCACAGCCAAGTCAGTGGCAGAGCAGGGCATAGGACCCAGGTGTCCTGTCTCCGAGTCCTGTGCATCAGCTCCTGCAAACTTTCCCAGACATGTGGGTTAGGCTTCTCCAGCTCATAAGAGGGGTAGGCCAGGGCACTGCAACAGAGACAGCTCCCACGGCTCAGAGGTTGGGAGGTAGGCCCCCAAAGCAGAGGTAGTTCCCGGGAGGACTGTGGGGGCGTCTTTTTCCATGGCTGTAGTGCCTGGTTCCACGCAACGTGCCGTACCCCTCTCTGCCAACCTGCAGCGCCTGGACGCCCTGGATCCCAACCGCGGATGGAAGCCTTTCCTCTCTGTCTAGGAGAGGAATGATAGGAGCAAGGGAGCGGTGTGCACACACAGTCTCCAGCCACAGAAATCAAGTGTGGCCCCTGCCCTGGGGAATTCACAGGGAAAGCTCTTAACCCAAAGGCGACCCTGGCAAGCCTGCCAAGATATGGGCACAGCGGCAGATGGCAAACACGGTCACTCCTGCTGGTATTAATAGGAACCAGGCTGCCAGGCCCTGGTACTCCCTTTGTCCCATACAACTCCAGGAACTGGGGCTGGACAGAACAAGGCCTTATGCCCATGTTGATCTGTGACCCTGCTGTGCCACTCACCTGATCGGGAGAAGCTGCTCTCCTCAACTGCAAGGGGAATGAAGAGAGAGACAGATCAGTAGCCTGCCAGAGTGTCCTTCCTTCCAGACCCATTATTGCCAGTGGGGAAGGGTGTGTTCCTCCCCTGCCGCCCAACCCTGCCTGCTACAGAGGGGGCAAATGGCTGCCGCAATACAGAATACGTGCCCAATCTACGCATTGCCTCATCTCTCTTCCTGGACTGGCACTCAACCTGGACCCCCCGAGCCCACCCCACACCCACAGAGTCCCTGGTGCCCCCCGAGCCTGCCCCGCACCTGCCGAGACCCTGGCACCCCCTGTGCCTGGGGTGACAGTCCTGCAGGGAGGTAGGTGCTTTCACCTGAATCATAGAATCATAAATCATAGAATATCAGGGTTGGAAGGGACCCCAGAAGGTCATCTAGTCCAACCCCCTGCTCAAAGCAGGACCAATTCCCAGTTAAATCATCCCAGCCAGGGCTTTGTCAAGCCTGACCTTAAAAACCTCTAAGGAAGGAGATTCTACCACCTCCCTAGGTAACGCATTCCAGTGTTTCACCACCCTCTTAGTGAAAAAGTTTTTCCTAATATCCAATCTAAACCTCCCCCACTGCAACTTGAGACCATTACTCCTCGTTCTGTCATCTGCTACCATTGAGAACAGTCTAGAGCCATCCTCTTTGGAACCCCCTTTCAGGTAGTTGAAAGCAGCTATCAAATCCCCCCTCATTCTTCTCTTCTGCAGGCTAAACAATCCCAGCTCCCTCAGCCTCTCCTCATAACTCATGTGTTCCAGACCCCTAATCATTTTTGTTGCCCTTCGCTGGACTCTCTCCAATTTATCCACAATGAAACCCACAATGTGAAGCGTAGGGGACAATTTCCTGGTGCAAGTGCTAGAGGAGCCAACTAGGGGGGGAGCTTTTCTTGACCTGCTGCTCACAAACCGGGTAGAATTAGTGGGGGAAGCAAAAGTGGATGGGAATCTGGGAGGCAGTGACCATGAGTTGGTTGAGTTCAGGATCCTGACACAGGGAAAAAAGGTAAGCAGCAGGATACGGACCCTGGACTTCAGGAAAGCAGACTTCGACTCCCTCAGGGAATGGATGGGTAGGATCCCCTGGGGGACTAACATGAAGGGGAAAGGAGTCCAGGAGAGCTGGCTGTATTTCAAGGAATCCCTGTTGAGGTTACAGGGACAAACCATCCCGATGTGTAGAAAGAATAGTAAGTATGGCAGGCGACCAGCTTGGCTTAACGGTGAAATCCTAGCAGATCTTAAGCATAAAAAAGAAGCTTACAAGAAGTGGAAGGTTGGACATATGACCAGGGAAGAGTATAAAAATATTGCTCAGGCATGTAGGAATGAAATCGCACCTGGAAATCGCACCTGGAGCTGCAGCTAGCGAGAGATGTTAAGAGTAACAAGAAGGGTTTCTTCAGGTATGTTGGCAACAAGAAGAAAGCCAAGGAAAGTGTGGGCCCCTTAATGAATGAGGGAGGCAACCTAGTGACAGAGGATGTGGAAAAAGCTAATGTACTCAATGCTTTTTTTGCCTCTGTCTTCACGAACAAGGTCAGCTCCCAGACTGCTGTGCTGGGCATCACAACATGGGGAATAGATGGCCAGCCCTCTGTGGAGAAAGAGGTGGTTAGGGACTATTTAGAAAAGCTGGACATGCACAAGTCCATGGGGCCGGACGAGTTGCATCCGAGAGTGCGAAAGGAACTGGCGGCTGTGATTGCAGAGCCATTGGCCATTATCTTTGAAAACTCGTGGCGAACGGGGGAAGTCCCGGATGACTGGAAAAAGGCTAATGTAGTGCCAATCTTTAAAAAAGGGAAGAAGGAGGATCCTGGGAACTATAGGCCAGTAAGCCTCACTTCCGTCCCCGGAAAAATCATGGAGCAGGTCCTCAAAGAATCAATCCTGAAGCACTTGCATGAGAGGAAAGTGATCAGGAACAGTCAGCATGGATTCATCAAGGGAAGGTCATGCCTGACTAATCTAATCGCCTTCTATGATGAGATTACTGGTTCTGTGGATGAAGGGAAGGCAGTGGATGTATTGTATCTTGACTTTAGCAAAGCTTTTGACACGGTCTCCCACAGTATTCTTGTCAGCAAGTTAACGAAGTATGGGCTGGATGAATGCACTATAAGGTGGGTAGAAAGTTGGCTAGATTGTCGGGCTCAACGGGTAGTGATCAATGGCTCCATGTCTAGTTGGCAGCCAGTGTCAAGTGGAGTGCCCCAGGGGTCGGTCCTGGGGCCGGTTTTGTTCAATATCTTCATAAATGATCTGGAGGATGGTGTGGATTGCACTCTCAGCAAGTTTGCGGATGATACTAAACTGGGAGGAGTGGTAGATACGCTGGAGGGGAGGGATAGGATACAGAGGGACCTAGACAAATTGGAGGATTGGGCCAAAAGAAATCTGATGAGGTTCAATAAGGATAAGTGCAGGGTCCTGCACTTAGGACGGAAGAACCCAATGCACAGCTACAGACTGGGGACCGAATGGCTAGGCAGCAGTTCTGCGGAAAAGGACCTAGGGGTGACAGTGGACGAGAAGCTGGATATGAGTCAAAAATGTGCCCTTGTTGCCAAGAAGGCCAATGGCATTTTGGGATGTACAAGTAGGGGCATAGCGAGCAGATCGAGGGACGTGATCGTCCCCCTCTATTCGACATTGGTGAGGCCTCATCTGGAGTACTGGGTCCAGTTTTGGGCCCCACACCACAAGAAGGATGTGGATAAATTGGAGAGAGTCCAGCGAAGGGCAACAAAAATGATTAGGGGTCTGGAACACATGAGTTATGAGGAGAGGCTGAGGGAACTGGGATTGTTTAGTCTGCAGAAGAGAAGAATGAGGGGGGATTTGATAGCTGCTTTCAACTACCTGAGAGGTAGTTCCAGGGAGGATGGTTCTAGACTATTCTCAGTGGTGGAAGAGGACAGGACAAGGAGTAATGGTCTCAAGTTGCAGTGGGGGAGGTTTAGGTTGGATATTAGGAAATACTTTTTCACTAGGAGGGTGGTGAAACACTGGAATGCGTTGCCTAGGGAGGTGGTGGAATCTCCTTCCTTAGAAGTTTTTAAGGTCAGGCTTGACAAAGCCCTGGCTGGGATGATTTAATTGGGTATGGGTCCTGCTTTTGAGCAGGGGGTTGGACTAGATGACCTCCTGAGGTCCCTTCCAACCCTGATATTCTATGATTCTAAGACTCCTTGGCCCAGTGCCAGTGCTGGGTGTAAGCAGACTCCCCAAGGGGCCCCCATTTGAGTTTTTAGTATGTATTATGGGGTGCCCAAAGTATTCCTATTAGGGACCCCAATGGGCTAGCACCGCCTCTGCCTGGGCCTGATGTTGTTTATGTTGCTTCTGAGCCCAGGAAGATCTGCCAGGCCTTTTGGATGCACCAGAGCATGGCGCAAACGGCCATTTTCACAGGCTAAGAAGCCCGCTGGATACTGGGGACTTGAAAACTCCAGAATGAGCTGGCTGTCAGAAGGGTACAGACAGGACAAGAGTATGTATCCTAACCCTGGGCTCCGTGCACTGCTCCACCAATACCCGTCAATCCTCCTCCACGGCCCTGGCTATTCCAACCCTGGGTCCTCACCTAGCTCTGCCAACGCCCCTCAACCCTACTCCACGGCCCCAGCTATTCCAACCCTGGGTCCCCACCCAGCTCCGCCGACGCTCCTCAACCCTCCTCTGCGGCCCCGGCTATTCCAATCCTGAGTCCTCACTCAGCTCCGCCAATGCCCTTTAATCCTCCTCCACGGCCCCGGCTACTCCAACCCTGGGTCCCCGCCCAGCTCCGCCGACGCCCCGCAACCCTCCTCCACGGCCCCGGCTATTCCAACCCTGGGTCCCCACCCAGCTCTGCTGATGCACCTCAGTCCTTATCTGCTATTCCCCACCCACAGCTCTGCTATTACAATTCAATCTGACCTGCCGCAGCTCTTACATGTTAATCCTGCACTTCTCCGGCACAAAGGCTGGCAACTGCACTGAGCTGCACTCTGGGTGCGGAGGACAAGGTGCTGTGAAGTACCATGCCCCCGCCCAAACTCCTCTAACCAGGCTTTGAGGCCAGGTCCCCAGAGACAGAAAATCAATCAGCACCTGAGCCCCAGAGCGATTTACTCTGCCCCGGCAGGCGGTTCTCTTGATCTCAAACTCTTTCTCTGTTTGAAGTGAAAGCCACCAAGCCAAGTCAGCCAGCTTCCTGGGGCCTCTTACCTCGGGGGATCTTACAAATGACCCCCATGGTGACATTAGAGCAGGAGCCCAGGTGCCACACCCCGTTACTGCTCTGGATCCAGTAGCAGCTGTTCTGGCTGAGCATGCTGGGTCCAGTGTCATGCTGGCCCCAGTTGGAGTAGTTCATGGCTGTGTTGTCGTGCCAAACCAAGGTGCCTCCTAAGAGACGGGAAGAAACCATTACAGAGGGCTACAAGGGCAGCCAGAACCTGGCCCAGCTCAGAGCCACGGTGCTGGTGCCTTGTCAGGACACCTATCTAGTGTCACACGGGAGCAGGCCGCTGCTGCCTTCATTTTCGGTATGACAGAGCAGACTGTTGATTCTACAGTTCCCAGCATCCAATGCTCTATTCTGATGTGAGCAGCAGCTGGCAGAGTCTATAGGTTCCAGCAGGATGAGCTGAGTGGCCTGGCCATGTTGAACACGGGGACTGGTCATCTCCAAAGAGCTATAAGCTGCACTTCAGAGCAACATGGGCTGCCCTTGGCCCATGAGCTGCCCTTTGACAGTGTTGAATCCCAGCACCATATCCAGTGTGGCCTGGAGGTCCCCTTAGATCAGCCCTGCAGGTGATCCAGACAGGTCAGAGACACTGTCCCAGGCCAAGCTCTCCCTTGGGAGACTGGACTGGGACTGCAAACGTCCAGCCACTCCTTTGTCTCACTTCCCCTGGGACTGACACAGCAAAGCCCTCTACCCCAAAGTGCCTAGAGCTACGCAGGCCACTGCATGCAGAAGACACATCTTCCCCCAGAGAAACGGGTAACAGGATCGGTGCAGGCCTACAAGAGTGCCTGGCTTCCACATACATGGGCTCTTTGATACGTGCAATTCCCTAGGCGCTCATTCACCGCAGTGCATCGCTGATGACAGTAACACTGAGCCCAGATCTAGCAATTCCCCTCTGTAGATCTCCAAGCACTTCAGCCCAGGAGGGACAGTGCCATTATCCCCATTCGTGCAGACAGAAAAATGGAGGCAAATAATGGAAGAGCTGGTTACAGCGCTGAGCTGTCCAGACTCCCAGTCCAGTGCTCCACCCATGGGGCCATGCCGCCTCCTGACACCAGTGATCTGCCGTGAAGTCAGAAGCGCTGCTCCTACCTCTCCAGTTTCTAAAAACACTGGAGCCAGACAAATCACTCCCTTTGTAACGTGTTTCTTTTACCTTTCGGGTTAAACGTCATCCCCAACCAGGCGCCCTTGGATTGGCTCTCGTAGGCTTGGAGATGCTCCCAAACGAACACGTTCTCTGTCTCATCCTGGATGGACAGCACCGTGCCACCAGCTGCGGAGGAAAAGGCACACCAGAGGAACGTTACGGGGCCAGCCACTCAGAGGAAGGGAAGCGCAGCCTGCACGTGCTGGGTCTTGCTCCAGTGGCTTTGCTGAGACCTGACAGGAAGGGGCCTTTGTTTAAGTAGATCCAATGCCCAGCAATGGTTCCACAGACAATCAGCAGGGGCGTGCAGAGCCTCAGCTGGTGCAAAATGCCTGGAACGTTCCACGCAGGTCATCAGAGCTCTGACAATTTACATCTGCTGAGGATCTGCCCCATAGCCCTGTGAGAAGAAGTGATTATTGAAAGGATTGGTTGATCACACACTGAACACATGGAGATTTGACCTGAGAGTGACTGAAGTGGGGAAGCACCCAGGAAAGAGATACACAAGGGCATTGGGCCAGGAGAAAGGGGGGTGGAGGTTAATTTATACTGACCATGAGGGACCGCAAGCGCTGGAGTCCGTGGAACTGGCTCTGCATGGGAAGGGGTGGAAGCTGCACTGCTTGAGGTATTTGAAATGAACTGGACAATTCACTGGCAGGAACGTTACAGGGAACAAGTCTGCCTGGGCAGTGGGTGGAGCCCACGATCTAATGGGTCTTAACCATCTTGTATTCCTAGGCTCGCATGGTCGGGCTCGCTACACTCGAACCTCATTCGTACCTTTTTGGCATCTCTTTATGGCGTCCTTCTGTCCCAGAGTGACCTCCATGTGGAAAGTGTAGCAGTGATTCCTAAAAGGGATCCAGGAGGAATCCTCCACTGACTTGGGACAGCTCCCACTGTAACTCCACTTGTGTGACCGGGGGGACCCTGCAAAGGAGCCGAAGCATGGGTAAGGAGTTTTTCTTTTCCCTGGAGGTCCCCTCTCTGCCCCACCACCACTCCGCGTCTTCCCACCTCTGCTCCGTCCCCTCCTGAGGCCGCTGCCTGCTCGGTGCTCTCTGCCCTCCCCCCAATCAGCTAATCGGGGGTGCGCCAAACAGCTGATCGGTGGCACCGCCAAACAGCTGTGGCTGGATCAGAGAGAGCACCCCAAGGGGGAGGGAGGAGGAAGAGACCAAACACCTCTGTCCAGGCAAACATTGCAAGCAGGAGCATTGCTGATGACCCACCAGTGCTAGAGTTTAGGTCTTGTCTGTGCCCTGCCTTGCATGGATGGGCAAGGCGGGGGGACGGGGGAACGAGCAAGAGAAGACACAGGCCATGTCTGGAACACCTTCCTGCCAGGCCAGCTCCTCTAGGTCCCACAGGGCATCCCATCCCAGTGCAGAGCGGCTGCCACACCGTGCGCTCCCTGGATGGATTCCTGCTGCTCAGCCTGCAACCCGCCCAGCCAGGGGCTCAGAAACCACAGCTCGGCCTGCAAGCAGCATCCCACGGTCTGCAGCTGCCCAGCAGAGCGGCACCAAGGGTGCCCGATGTGTTTCTTCCCCCTGCTCCCCCTGCGTCTCCTCTGCTCCCAGGTGGTCGGCGCACACACCTGTGTTGACCTTGCAGATAGCCCCTTGCAATCTGGTGTCACAACCAGCTGTCCGCCACGTCCCATCCATGTCCATGTAGGAGCAGCCCGTGACCTGCTGAGGCTCCCCGTCCTGCCAGTTGACATAGGACAGGCTCTCTTCTGTGAACCACGAGTAGCTCCGGCCTCCCTGAAAACCACCGATAAGGGGGAAGGCTCAGGGGCAGCTCAGAGCACAACCCCTCCCCTCCACCGGCCCTCAAGGAGACAAGCCCCCCTCTCCTACCTCCTCATTGGCCAGGCCGATCCAAAGAGGGGCCCGCAAGCTGCTGATGGCCTGGGTGAGGTAGGCCTGGGTGTAGGGATCCAGCACACTGGCTAGCGTGGCGTTGCGGGTCTCGCACAGCAGCAGGGCCTCCTGCCACTTCAGGGGTTTCCGCAGGATGCGGTAGGTGCTGTTGAGGTAGGAGAGCGGGGAGCTGGGGGAGGGGGGATAGCTGGTCCGGGATGAGCTCAGAGTTGGGTCTGGGGAAGGAAAGAGACACAGTCAGATCTCTATCCAGAGTCCCTCTTTGCACTGGTGCGATGCCCCTCGGCACTGCCACAGGGCATCCCATCCCAGTATGGGAGTGGGCCCTGGGGAGCGGGCAGGAACGAGACCATGTGAAAATGCCCCCGTGGGTAACTGTCGTACCAGCTCAGGGCAAAACACGCTGCTGAACGGACAGCAAAATGTCCCACCCCCAGCAGGCGACATCCAGGTCCAGGAGAGAAGGCAGCCACCAGCTGCAGGTTTTTGTTCAAAGCAGGAGCCAGGCTGAGGAGTGTGCGTGTGAGCATGGGTTGGGGAATCCCAGCCCGGGGGCACATTCAGAGTCTCACAGTTGTGACTGTTTAGCACATGAGGATCCGGGCCCCAAGGTTGCTGCCCACACGCAGAGCGAGATGTGGGGCAGCTCATGGACTCCGGTGGAGCTGAGTGAGTTGCAAATGCAGCCCGAGTGGGACAGAATATATTTTGCATCGTGTTAAGGAGACAGGCAGGCACGTGGGAGCTAAGAGGCAGGTTGCTGAGACATGTGGGGAGGGCCGTGGTGCGTTTTGATGCTGAGCGGTCCAGCACCATGTCAGAGATGGATTTAGCTGGACCTGGCACAGTATTAGAGCTGGGCCCAAAGCCACGGGCTTGGGTCAGGATCTGAAAGCAAGCCTGTCCTACGTTCCAGGGGGTGCATGTTTGGTGCCTGTATTTGGGCTCCAACTAGGGTGACCAGACAGCAAATGTGAAAAATTGGGGCAGGGGTTGGGGGGTAATAGGAGCCTATATAAGAAAAAGACCCAAAAATTGGGACTGTCCCTATAAAATCGGGACATCTGGTCACCCTAGCTCCAACCCAGCCCTGCACAGAGCAACTCAGTGGCACGCTGAGATACCCCGGGGAGGGGTGTTCTCGAAACGGTGGCTGAGTTCCTTTGCAGCGTATTGTGGGACACACTCAGCCTGACAGACGTGCCAGCACACGGACAGCCTGGCGCCTGGGTGGCACAGAGGCATCTGCACTGATCCTTTCCCCAGCATCTTGGCTCGCATTACAAGAGAATTGGGACCGTCAGCCCCACAAGTGTGGCTGGTACCAGAGAACCCAGGCAAAGCGCACGCTGCCCAGAGAAGCTGGATGCCGACAGCTGGGCGCAGAGCTGATCTGGCAGCAGCGAAGCCCAGCTGCAGCCAGTGACCCAACAGAGGCAGCACGTAGGGGGCCGTGATGCCAGGTCACCAGGGGCTACGATTACACCGCTTGTTTCTGACCTGAACCCGCCCCGCCTTCTCTGCAGTAGGTGCCATGGGCAGGGCACCTGCACATGCCCGGTGCTGTCGGCCCCTCTCCCCTACCTATGCTACGTTGGCAGATGTAGCCATGCTTCTCCTCCAGGCAGTTCCTGTCGTCCCAGCGGCCAGTGAAGTGGGGAGGGGAGCCGTGCCAAACCATCGCGCAGTTAGTCTACAAACAGAAGCCAGAGAGGTCAGCGCTGCCTCTGCAAGCCCTGCTCCGCTCGGAGGAGCGGGGGTGGCTGGACGAGTGGCAAAGGCAGCCGGGCTGTGTGTCCAGGGGTGGGTATGTTATCATTACGAGTAGTGGTATCCTGAGCCCAGGCCCTGAAACTGTCCCTGGGAGCGGAAAGGATCCTGGCACCACATTCTGGCTGCCTGGCACTGTTACGGCAGCCAAAGCAGGTGGAGAGAGCTGGCTGACTGGGGAGGGCAGCTCCATGGTGCCCCCTCCCAGCATGGCCAGAACATCGCCAAGTCTCTGCTCCCTTCCTGGTGCAGCAGCCACCTGAAGATGCACTTGGTGGTGCTGGAAGCCAAACCAGGCTGCTGCCAGCCTCCGGACTGGGGTGGGGAGAGGGGACGGGAGATAAACCCCAACCCCGCCCCTAGGCCACTAAATGGAGCCAGGCATCCAGCCTGTAAAGTGCTCCTGGGCACACCACTCCTACCTATCTCCCGGACCTTCAGACCCCATTTAACTGCCCTGGCGGCAGCACGGTGAGAGAGACAGGGTAGCTAGAGAGGGACACTGCCCCACCCCACCGCCAATGCAGGCTGATCCCTAAGGCGTATTCTCCCCCACTCTGTCCAGTCCTCTTTTAAACCTCCCAAGATGCAAGGCTCCCTCCCCAGACCCGTGGGAGATGGTTCCACAGCCCGACAGCCTCCACCATCAGGACCCATTTTCCAGGGTCCCATCCATGTTTCCCTTTGCTCATTGTTCATCCCAGATGCCTAGGTATTCACCCTCACCGGGCTGCTGTCAATGCTCCTCTCCCGGCCTGGGGGTTCGCATCCTTCACAGACTTGCCGATGATCACCTCTCCATTTTTAGCCATTGTATAGCCAAGCAGAGCTGCCAGGACTGAGTCATCCTATTGGCCAGTGCCCGGAAGATAAAACTTCAGGGCTTCTGCAAACCTCTAACTATTAGGGATCAGGAGGAGACCTCCCTGAGATTATCTACGGGGTTCTTGCTCCTCCCTCTGAAGCTGGCCAGTGTTGGGGATGGGATACGGGGCTAGCTGGCCCCATGCTGGGCTCCGATCTAGGAATTCCTACGTTCCACCCCAGCAGCCAGGCTGAAAGCAACAGGCTGGAATAGTCCAGAGAGAAAGGGGCCCAGGGAGTCGCTCACCGGTTTGTCGTTCACTGTGGAGGTGCCGTACCCGGAGGGCTCCCCTGGGGCCCAGTTGACGTATCGGAGAGGTTCCGATTCCACCCACTGGAACTCCTGCTTGGCATCGTGAAGGCCGAGCCAAAGGTTAAAGGTCACATTGGGAAGGATGGATGTTATAAAAGCTGAAAGATGAAAATACAGGGGAAGGAGGGAACCAGCTGATCAGCGGCAGAGTCACGGGGCACTGCCGAAAGCACATGCTCCTGACCCCTCTGTCTGCAGGTTCTGCACCTGGCTGGTCTCAGGGCCACAGGCCAGCTGTTAGACCAAGCTCCTCACAGGCAGCCCTTGGGGTCCTATGATGCCCTGAAACTGCCCAGCCCTGGCAGAAGAAGAGAGGCCCCAGGGGGACACCCTACCTTGCTCTAGGTAGTTGGAGATGGTGGCCAGCACAGAGCCCTGGCTCTCACATGCTCGCTTCGCTTCCTGCCACTTCACCTGCTCAGCCTTGTCGTGGCCCTTGATGCTGAAACACTGGGCAAGGCCCGAGGGCAGACGAGAGAGACGTTCAGGAGGCGTTTCCCAGCCCAGCAAGCAACGCACCCACCCGCCTCCCCTTCGCCGCCACACTCACTCCTCTTCCTTGTGCTCCTGGGAACTTGTCTGAATTACTAGTTGTCTAGGAGCCCAGTTACAGATCAGAACCCCAATGTGCTGGGTGCGGTACAAACAGAACAAGAATGACTTCCGCCAGTATACCCCCTTACAAACCCGCACACAGACGCACCTATTCCCCACCTTAACCCCCACCCACATATTGCCCTTCCCCAACTGGCCACAGACATACCTTGTATCCTCCCCACTTACCTACACACACACACTCCTCTCTCCTACACACACACACGTGCGCGCGCACACACACAAAACTCCCTCTCCTGTCCACGTACCCAATGTAGTATTTCACTTTCCTCAGTCCCACAGCCAGGTCGTGGAAAGCCCCAGCAATGCTGCCCCTAGAGGCTCCTAAACCGCCCCTGGGAGATCCTGGGCCCTTTGCACAAGCGCAGGAATATGCAGAAATGTAAGCAGACGCACGTGGAGGGGACAGACAAGACAGACGAACGTTGCATCTGCAGGCCTCCTGGAATACCTTGTTGATGAACGGGATCCAACCCCATGCGCAGCCACCAGGAACGGGAGTAGGCAGTGGTGGCAGAGAGGGCTTCACAGCAGTGATGTTACTCCGTTTGCAGATATACGGCAGAGCAGTTAGACACTTCTGGTCCCCCCAGTCCTCTTCAGAGAAAAGGAGAGAGCATGCGACTTTCCTCTACGTGGTCCAGGCAGCCAATGGAATGTAACTCCCTCGACTGGAAGGGGCTTTGCTATTGCAATGGCCTTGGTGCCTCCAGCATACCAGCTACCTCGAATATTAACCTCAGTTTGGTACATCTGTACCAGATGTGTGCAGAGGGGACGGGTGTGTAGGGGGTGTCTGTCATGTAAGACTCACATGTACAGTCTATGGTGGTTACATGGGACTTGGAGTCAGGACTTGATTTCCAGCTCTGCCAATGACTTACTGGGCAAGCCACTTAGACCCAGTCTCCCTGCCCCCAGGGCTGACTCTCAGAGGCACCTAGCACCCGCAGCTCCCATTGACTTCACTGGTGGGTGCTCAGCACCTCTGAGAATCAGGCCCAAGGTGTCTCCAGGCTGGGCTCCCAAAAAATCAGAGGCCACTTATGAAAATGTTGGTTCCCCCCACGCCCCCATCTCTGTGCCTTAGCTCCCCTATCAGTGAATCGGGGATCATGGTACTGAGCCACGGGGCCGGAGGGGCTGCCAGCAGGGTCACTGACGAGTGCCCGTGGTGCTTTGAGATAGCTGCCCTGATAGTGCGGCCATTCGCCTAACACGTACAAACCTCTCACCTCTGCTGGCTGTCATGTACACGCACTTCTTCTCCTTGCTGATCGGCCGCGGCTTGCCCGGCGCCCAGAAGATGAAGTTCAGGAGGGAGCCGTCGGACCACCTGGGGAAGGCAAGGGTGGGAAGGGTCAGCAGCTGCACGTGGAAGAGGGTGGAAGGCAAAGCGAGTGGGAGACGAGGCTACCAAGCAGGCAGGCTCTCATGCACTCGGAGGAGGGGTCTGAGAAGCAGAATGCCCAGAGCCAGGGGATGGCAGGATTCCTGCAGCGCAGGCTCCTTGCTGGGCAGCTCCCCCTGTGCCCCCTGCTGCTGCCCATTCAGCTGAGTGCATGCACCTGGCGTGTGCCGCTTATAATCAAGAGGGTGGGCTTCAAAGCAGCCAGTGTGGTGGAACAGCTGAGGAATAATTCTGCTCCCATCCAACCCAGGGGAGCCTGGTCACTGACTGCCATGGAGATGGGACCAGGAGCGAGGGTGTGTGCAGGTACCGCTACTGCCCCCTGCTGGTGGCTCAGGCAGACCTGCTCAAGCATGTGGCTGGAGCATCTATTCCACTCCCAGGCCAGGCACCACCCAGTGCAGACCCCCTGCCCAGGGGAGCTCCCAGACTAATGTTAGACAAGACGTGTCCAGTGAGAGGAGAGCGGGGAAGGGGAGTAGGGGTGGAGACTCTGTGTTTACACCGTGAAGGCTCATGCATAGCACCACAGACCACCTGGGCGAATTCTGACTCCTGGGGCAGAAGGTTTAATACCCCATCAACTGAGTGCAGCCCACATCTGCTCAGCATGGCACACGGGCCCTCTTCTAACAGTGGTTTAATTTCCTGCAGAGCTCCATGAGCCTGTCATAGGCTTAGCCAACGGAGGCTGGCTGTTTAGCTCAACAGCAGAGGCTCCTGCTTCAAGACACAGGTGTGATGCCCAGGGCCGATGGCCCACCCGGGGTGCGACACTGCTCTTGCTGTAAAGAAACTCGCAGCAGCAGCTGCTTGAAGGCATGTTGCAGCCTGTTTGGGGGTGCTGATGGGAGCACAGCAACGGCACTCTGACCAAGCAGCGTTGGTGTGGACGAAGGCGGGGGGCGAGAAAGATCTGAATACAAGCAGAGGAGGAGATAGCCAGGCTTGCTTTCCTCATGACTGGAGCTGGCTTTTTAGCATTGGCCACTTTGCTCTCTGGGCTGGAGAGGCTCTGTCATAAATATAAAGGGAAGGGTAAACCCCTTTGAAATCCCTCCTGGCCAGGGGAAAGCTCCTCTCACCTGTAAAGGGTTAAGAAGCTACAGGTAACCTCGCTGGCACCTGACCAAAATGACCAATGAGGAGACAAGATACTTTCAAAAGCTGGGAGGAGGGAGAGGAACAAAGGGTCTGTGTCTGTCTGTATGCTGCTCTTGCCAGAGACAGAACAGGAATGGAGTCTTAGAACTTTTAGTAAGTAATCTAGCTAGGTATGTGTTAGATTATGATTCCTTTAAATGGCTGAGAAAAGCATTGTGCTGAATAGAATAACTATTTCTGTCTGTGCATCTTTTTTGTAACTTAAGGTTTTGCCTAGAGGGGTTCTCTATGTTTTTGAATCTAATTACCCTGTAAGATATCTACCATCCTGATTTTACAGGGGGGATTTCTTTATTTCTATTTACTTCTATTTTTTATTAAAAGTCTTCTTGTAAAAACTGAATGCTTTTTCATTGTTCTCAGATCCAAGGGTTTGGGTCTGTGGTCACCTATGCAAATTGGTGAGGCTTTTTATCCAACATTTCCCAGGAAAGGGGGGGTGCAAGTGTTGGGAGGATTGTTCATTGTTCTTAAGATCCAAGGGTCTGGGTCTGTAGTCACCTAGGCAAATTGGTGAGGCTTTTTACCAAACCTTGTCCAGGAAGTGGGGTGCAAGGTTTTGGGAAGTATTTTGGGGGGAAAGACGCGTCCAAACAGCTCTTCCCCAGTAACCAGTATTAGTTTGGTGGTGGTAGCGGCCATTCCAAGGATAACGGGTGTAATATTTTGTACCTTGGGGAAGTTTTGACCTAAGCTGGTAAAGATAAGCTTAGGGGGTTTTTTCATGCAGGTCCCCACATCTGTACCCTAGAGTTCAGAGTGGGGGAGGAACCTTGACAGGCTCCGCGCTCAGTCTCTAGGGGGGAGACAGCTTTTCTAGACCACTCTTCAGGGAGTGAGCCAGGAGCTGCCTTTCTGCTCTCCCAGACTCACATGCAATTCTCACTGACGTCAGCAGGGGGGGCAGGTGCCTACCTGAGGGCAGAATGTTGACACACCCGCCCCCATCCTCCTCCAGCTAAGGCATTTCCAGCTGGGATGAGCTGAGGAGTCCCAAGCCCTGCCCCAGTGTCCTCACCACAGCTGGAATTTGGGGTTGCTGGTTGGATTTGCACTGAAACACAATCCTTTTTACAGGAGAGAAGGAGAGCAGGATGCGTGGGGAAAAGGGGGGGAGAGACTCACTTGAATCGCCCGTCGTTTTCGTAGGTGTGCAGCCCGATCCACCAGTGCTGCTCCTGGCCCCTGGAGAACTGGGGAATCCAAACATGGGGCACGTCAGCATCGCAGACAGAGCTGAGAGAAGAGCAAATCCAGCAGGGCCCCATTCACTTACTGCCTTCTCCGCTGGGGCCTACAGGAGCTGCCTGAGCCCGGCTCTCAGTCTGGGCTGCGGCCAACAGTTTCCCCAGGCCTAGAACCTAGCATGGGTGCCCCATGGCTATTGCAGGCTAGCTGGGTGATGAGCTGTGTCCGGCCTCCCCTTCCCTCCCAGCCCCTGCAGTGCCTTCCTCAAAAGGGGAAGATGCTCAGTACCCACCCCCCTCCTCCTCCTTCCTTCTCTTCATACAGCAGCTTGGGAGGACCAATGAGATGCTTTTGCTGGTGCCAGTCAGTGGCTTCATGCACTAGCCTGTGCAATGCACCACAGCCCTAAGACCAAGCCAGAATCAAACTCTGCTCTCAGTTACACAGGTAAATCCAGTAACTCTGCTGGCGTCAGCTGATGCCCTGTGAAATTACACCATTGAAACCCTGCTCTGGCTTTAATGATGGGAAGGGAACATTTTCCACAACTGTGCAGACCTGCTTCCTGCTGAACAACAGGGCTCAGAGACACGCAGTTGTCCGACAATGACCCAAGGATGCCCCATGCTTGGCTACATTCTCCTACCTTCTTCAGGCTCTGGCCCAAAAAATCCAGCTCGGCTTGGTTATGAACAGACACCAATTCAGCTTGAAACCAGGTGCAGATCCGCTGAGCCTGCACCCAGGTCGAGTGATGCTCAAAGAATTTGTATTCTGCATCCTGATATTTCACCCACTCTTTGCTGCCTGTGGACACAGAAGCACAGACAAGATGAGGCTGTGCATAGTGATGCTGGCTCAGCTGGCGGGCAGGCAGCCGGGCAAAACAGTGACAGAGAGAGGAGAGAATCTGCTCTTACAGTAACAGGCCTATCAGCAGCCCTCTGTGCTGCCTCCTTTGCATCTGTCACCCTTGCCACAGGTGCTGGAATGCAACCAGCAAGGGGTTCTCCCTTTGGCAAGCTGGAGACATTTTAGTGCTGGGAGAACCTGATGGCAGCAACGAACAGTGGAGCATACGCTGTGCGAGCTAGTGCCCCTCACACCTGATCTGCAGTCCCTCCTGCTGTTCCAGCTCTGGGATCTTCCCACAGCACTGTTCAGGCCCCTCAATCCTGATCTCCAGCATCCTGCGTTAGTCCACTCCTGGCCCTTCTCCCCCAGCTCGGCTGTTGGCCCTCCAGCAGAAGCTACTGTCCTATTGCAGTCTTGCCTTCACCACTCCCTTGTCAGTTCTGCCAATTTCCCTTACTTCTGACCGGCAGCGGTCTCTGCTGCTCTAGACTCAGGCCCCCCAGCAGCATGGCTCTGCCGATGCACTTCAGTCCCGCCCCACGGCGTGCCCTGCTATTCCAGCCCTCCCCCTTGCCGCCCTGCTCCGCTGATTCTGCGCTGCTCTTCCGCCCCCTCTGCACCACTGGGGTTCTGGGGCAGAGCGCTCTAAGCAAGTCTTGCTGCATGGTGATCGGGTCATGCTGACAAAGGCACGTTCGGGGCGAGGGGGAGGGCAAATGCCTCGCACTTTGGCTCCTCCCTTGCACTTCAATCTGGGGCTCACAGGGTGGGTGGTTAGCCCACGGCTCCCATGCTCCTGGGCACAGAACGAGCCCAAGGGTGCCCTGGGTTGCTCTCCAATGGGATCAATGCATGTTTGTGGCTGAGGGCATTTATCCACCAACGCCATCCCTGGTTCTGGCACTGCGCGGCTGCTGGCCCTTACTGAACGGCAGTGACATCCAGGCCAAGGCTGAGCAAACCCTTAGGGGCGGGTCAAAATCTGCGGGGGGGAGCAGCACACTCCTCTGACAGACAAAGCTCTCCGTGCATTCCATGGGAGTTCGCCTGCAGAAGGAAGGCCGGGCTCTGTGTTGTCCTTGTTACACCTTCAACACAGCTGTGCCCATGTGGTGCCTGGCCAGTTTGGGAAGGACGACAACACCCCTTGCTCTGGGCACCTCAGGATTGTACAATGGCCCCTCCAGAGACACACCCAAATATTTAGCCTCTTTCCAAATTCTGCATTCTAGCTTTCCAGTCCAGTAACCCTTGGGGACAACTGTACCCCGTGCCTCGAGAAGAGCTGCCTGCTTGGCTTAGTAATTCTGTCACTTTGGGTTATGGCCCAGAGCCCTCCCTCCCTGCCACTGATGAGACTGTGGTGCCCAGCAGACCAAATTCACTCCTGGTACAAGTGGGAGAATTCTAGTGACTTCCCTAGGGTTGCGCCTCCTTACACGATGGGTGAATTTTGTCCATCGGACATCCAGCTCTCTTTGCTGAGACATCCGTCCATTTCACCCACAACCTGCTTGTTTCATTAATGCCATTTGCAAAACTTTACATACAGTTTGGAGAAAGACTAGTCTTGTGGCTGGAATTCAGGTCTGGGAGCCAGGACTCCTGGGTCCTTGTGCGATGCTGAGCACGTCACGCTGCTGCTGTGTGCCTCGGTTTCCCCCTCTGTAAAACGGGGCCAGCGATCCTGACCGAGCTCCGATGGGGTTTCTGAGGCTTTGCTCATTAACGTTGTTGGGTGGGAGGCACCATGGAAGGACAGACACGTCCACACAGTGGAGACAGATGCTTCACTGGACAGGCACTCAGTCATACAAGGTGGATGCAAACAGGGGAGATGTGCACAAGAGGCAGACTCTTCCCAGACACACGCACACGCCACAAGATGCACACACACAACACATGCCCTCAGGATAAGGGCACGCTCATCGGGGGAGGCAGACAGCAGCGGATGTGCAGAGACTCCAATGCGTAGGAAAACCTCCAGGAGATGATTCAATAACACACCTTGGGTGGGGATCTCTGGCTCCTTCACATCAGCACCTGTTCAAAAACAGAGAAGAAGGGGGATGAGGGAGGGATGAGCGATGCTCCTGAATTCAGCTCAGCTCCTGCCTGTGGGCCTCAGACGCTTTCCCCCTTTATGTTCAGGGCTGCGCCACGTCTGAAGAATCCACTCAGACTGATTTCAATTAAATAAAAGTGACTTCCCAAGCCAAGTGGTTTTGGCCGGCAGCAGCTTCCTCTGGCTTTCATACCAGTTCTGAATTATGGATCACCTGCTTCTGGAGCCTGCTGACATTCTCGCGCTCTGCTGTCCAGGACCAGAGGGGGGGATGCATATGGATAATGACTTCTAATCCCGGGGATATCAGAGCACTGCAGCAGCTGTTGGCACATGCAGGGAGTCTGAGGTGATGGGAGGGAGAAGGGGAATCTTTATTTCATGAAGTTGGAGCTGGTGAAAGGTGTGGGAGAGACGCACCCCTATGAATCCACAGGGCAAGCATTGCATGGACAACAGCAGCGGCAGCTTTACACAGCCACTGCCTGCAACCCTGACCGAGAGTCACGCCGGCCAGAATTCAAAAGCAATCAGCACTCCCAGCTGTGGCTAGCTTTTCCCAATTGCTCGGCACCCAGCGTGCTGAGGCCTTATGAAAAATCTGGCCATAAACCACACCATGGGCGGGGGGCTGAAGGGCGGTGCTGGGGGTTGAGGACTTGGGGGGAAATCTATCCCTCATTTGGGTGCCTAAAAGTGAACTGAGCTCTTTGGAAAATTTGTCCCTTGGTGTCTACTGGAGATTTGAGCAATTTAGCAAGTGGACCGAGGCTCCCTACATTTTTTGAAGACAGGCCACTGAGGAGCTCTCAGATTGCTGGTAATGACTTTGGGCCAGTGCCAACCTGCCCTGGAGTGCAAGCCAGACTCCAAACATGAACGACTCCAAGTGCCAGACTCAGTCCCCTCAGCCAGCCAGCTCCCTGCGAATCGACCAAGGGTTCCAGTTTTTGCTCCGGCAACGGTGTCCTCAGAAGCCCCCAGATTTGCTATTCTGTCTGAAGGGGCATGAAGCACTGGGAAGATGGAAGTGACAGAAGTGCATCAAGCAAGACCGTCCCTTCTGCTCTCTAAGGGTTTTGTGGATGTGTATAAATAAACCACTCAAGCACCACTCTAGTGGTTTACAACAGCATCAGGAACCTTCAGGAACAATTCAGCCTTAAAGGCAGAGGGCAGAGAAGTTGTGTGCCTGTGCACACGTGTATTTAGAACATCGATCTACACATGCACGCCCCCCGACACACACACACACACAATGCATCTGCTATAAACATCACCAAAAAATAATAATAATCAAGCTTAGAAATGTTTTGTAATCGCTTAAATCTCATTTATCTGTAAGCTTCCGTCCGCCCCAAACACCCCTAACAAGCTCAGACATTAACCCTTCAGGGCAACTAAGCTCACGGTAAATTTCAAGCTTCAGTTACCTTTGCTAGAGAGGTCTCAAAAATAGGGCTCAGATTCTTCCATTAGCAATGGGAGAAATGGATTATTTTCCATCCTGCTGCAGCTCCAACAGTGGAAGGGATTTGGCTCAAAAAAGAAAAATCATCTTTATGCCGAAGCCAAATCTGATCCGTGCCAGCCCCAGAGGTGAACATTTCAGAGCAATACAAGCATGTGAGCACTGAGGGGAGAGGGTAGGTGGGGGGGTTTACAATGGAAATGGTTTTACAGCCTTACTGTAATGACGCTGACCACATCCCAACTCCTGTAATTATAAGCAAGCCTGCTGCAACTGGCCTCAATATCTCTGTGCCCCTCAGGACCCCATCAGGAAAATGGGGATAGCACCACCTTTCCTCCCAGGGGCGTTGTGACATTTGTGAATCACTCAGACATGGTGCTGCTGCGTGTCACAGAAAAGCCCAGGAGGAAATTAACAATTCTGTATTCAGAGCAGAGTTTGGATGGTGTGCAACAAATGATGGGAGGCGGTGTAGCCTAGTGGACGGGACTGGGACTCAGGAGACTGGGTTCAATTCCTGGCTCTGCCACTACTTTGCTGGGTGACCTTGGGCAAGTTACCACCCTGCCCTGTGCCTCAGTTTCCCCATCTGAAAAATGGAGATAACAATTCTGACCTCCTTTGTAAAGCACTCTGCGATCAGTGGGTGAAAAGCACTAGATAAGAGATACAGTGTTTATTACTGTTATTAAATAAGGCTTGAGGCCACACACTGAACGATCAGGTTAAAAATTAATACTGAAGAGCTGCTCATGCAGTGAGCACTATCTTGTACACTGAATGCAGCAGGGCCCCGTGGAAAACGAAGCATGCAACCACGTAATTAAAGACTGTTTCATAATGCATATACATAACGGGGCTGAATTAAGATTACACAGGAAACCTTAACTCTGGAATTTCCTAACTTTGGAACGCTTTTTTTTTTTTTTTTTGCAGTGCAATGTATATTTCAGAAACCTTAACCTCTCCTCACTGGTTGTGTGCTGCGAGTTTCAGGAGGCTACCCTATATTCTTCATACAAACCACCAGACTGAATCCCTGCTTTAAGCAAGAAACTCAATGGAACCTTAAACGACTGAGTCATAACCAATTCCTTCTTATTTCAAAGCCTACCCAATGATTTGGTCCAAAACTCCTTCACAGCTTTGAAAATTTCAGCCATCATATACAAATGGACAAAGGATCTGTCTTCACTTCCTGTCCCAAACTGTCATGTGGGCTCACTATGATTAAAAACGGTTACAGCGATGGACAGCCAACATTTTAACAAAGGGCTCCCACAAAATGACGCCGCACCTGTCAGCAACCCTGCCTCTGAGCATGGTCATGCGCACATCAGAGGAATGAATTCATTGGTTTTCCCATTCAAACAAAATTACCTTCTCATAAAAAATAACCCAAACCACTTGGCAAACAAACTTAAGTGTATTTGCTGAAAATATTTAGATTCCGCTCCTTAAGCCCGTCAGTGTGTTGATAGTACTGTGGGGGAGAGGGGGGCGGGTCAGCGTGTGTAATTTGAAGAGTGTGCACATCTGTGTGTGTAGAGCTTTCAGGGGAGCCTTGGTGGGTGGAGATTTCCTCCCCCAGGAATTTTTCAAAAACATCTGCAGTTTGGTGCTATTCCATTCTACCCAGGTTCTTGTCCCACCCCTTCACCGTAGTTTCTGAGTGACTCCTGGTCAGGATTCGAGCGACGTGACTGACATCTGTCACGTGTGTTCCATCTTCTCACTCATCCTCTCTCTCACTGTGTGGGGCAGTGCAGTGTTTTGGGCGGGTTGTTTGGGGCGTTTCCCCTCTCTCCTCAATCTGGTGCATTGCGAAGGCAGAACATCTCCTCCTCAAATGTAGCTATTCAGTGATTCTCTAACTCTTGTACTGGTGACCCCTTTCCCACAGCAAGCCTCTGAATGTGACCCCCCCTTTATCAATTAAAAACACTTTTTTTATAGATTTAACACCATTATAAATACTGTAGGCAAAGTGGGGTTTGGGGTGGAGGCTGACAGCTTGTGACCCCCCTCCATAATAACCTCACGACCCCCTAGGGGTGCCGACTCCAGTGTGAGAACCCTGCTATAGATGCTCCCCAGCAAGACGTCAGCTCTGGCCAGGAAGACTTAGGGTATGTCTACACTGCAAAAAAAAAAAAAAAAGGTGGGGGGTTGACTCGGGTTAACTGACTCCAGTTAAACCAGCAGTGAAGACACAGCAAGGTGGGTTAGCTGGGTGAGTTCAGCCCCAGGCTCCTGTCTCGGCTTTAAGTTGAGCTGCTAAGTCACCCTTTCTTCACTGCTACTTTAATGCAAGAACACCCTTATTTTTGCAGTGCTGACACAGCCTTGGTTACATCCAGAAAGAGGCAGCTCCATCTCAGGGAGGGAAAACTCCCTGCACTGCCTTGGTGGCAGACTCCAAACGAGCAGCCCGAGAGCCCCCGGCAGTGATCCCTTCAGATCCCTTCCCTACCACACCGGAGCACTGGGAGGCCGAATTAGCCCATGTCTGTGCAATGCTCCGAGAGCAGTGGATGGAATGCACTGCACTCTCCCTGTTTGCATGGCCTCTGTCCTGTGCCCTTCTCCCCGTTACCTTTGGGCAGTTTGCAGATCCAGTCCAGCTGTGAGTCACACTGCATGGGCATCCACTGCAAGGATGCCAGGTCCAGCACTGCACAGTTACGGATGTCGTCATCATCGTGGTTGCTGCGGTCAAAATTGTGGTAGAAAAACTGGGAGCCAGGAAAGATGGGCAGAGTTAGAGCCTGCAAACCCGCGGGAACTGGAGTCACCACACTGGGCTGGACAATTAGCCCTTATCATCCGGTCTCCTGGTGCAACGGTTCTGAGTGTTGATCCATCTATAGCACTATGGCATTCTGACTCAGAGTACAGCCTGATGCTTCAGATGTAAGCAAACCCCTCCCATAATGTACCCAGCCAGCTGTGCAGTGCTGTACCCCCACTGTGCCCAGCTAATCCCAGCAGCAGCACAAGAACTGTTTGCCCCATTTCAGCCTCATTCCCTCTGCCCTACACCTTGGGAAGTCATTTGCATCTGTGCAAAAGTGTGTGTGAAAAGTTCCCGGTCAGGACAGTTGTCCTTTCCATCCATTTTGCACACACGGTGCAGGGCACAGAGGAATGGGATCTCAAGCGCTAATATGGGTCAAAAAATTATCCAGCCCTTTTTCTAAGATGTGGCCACAGTAGCTGTCCTATGGTGGAATCAGTCAGCTGGGAGCAGGGACTCCTGTGTGTTTATCTCTTTCAAAGCCCAATGCTCCAGTCACTGTGCTGTAGACGGCTCAGACATGAAGGATTAGGCCAGTGGTTTTTAACCTGGGATCCACAGATTATGCCAAAGATTTCCAAAGGGGTCCGCACCTCCGTTCAACATTTTTTAGGGGTCCACAAAAGGTTGAAAACCACTGGATTAGGTAAAAAGAAAGTCAAACCACTATGGTCTCTCCATGATGCCTTTCAGACATTGCACCAGTCCACCTCTGATGGCTATCCAGCCAGCCAGTCAGTCAGGAGGAAGGGAAGAGTCCCAGGGACTTTGCCAAAGAGACAACGGGACAACCCTGAAGCCTTACCAGTGTTATCCTCTCTCAATAAAACAGCTTTCAGTGCCCAGGGGGATGTCTGAGTGATCATCCCAAGGAGACATGGACGAGGTGCTGGCCACTTGTGGTTAGTAAAAAGCTCACAGCTCATTTTGCAAGTCGGAGGATCAGATCCTCAGCAGGTGCAAATCGGCAAACCTCATTAACGTCAATAGAGTAACGCCTGCTTGCACCAGTTCTGGATCCGTTATATGGTGCCCTGACCAAATTCCAAATGAGTAATTGTCACCTTCTGCCTCCCTAAAATTCCCCCTGCAGACACCGCTTCCTGTCCTGAACTACTGCACAGCACTGCTGAACAGCTACTGTTGTCCACCCCAAAGGTGGCTGCATTTCAGCAACAGGTCAGGTGGCTCCTCTCTATCTATCTATGTCAATAGTTTGCAGCCAGTGTGCACAGCACTTTGAGGTCTCTGGATGCCAGTTTGCCACCCCTGCAGAGCACGTGGCAGCCCTGCTAGCCTCTCAGCTCACGGCATTGCTAGCACCTGTTCCTGTGCAAAGCACATCTGCACTCACCCCGAGGCCGTCACTCCACCTCCAGCTCCTCTCTGCTCCAGGATCCCGCCGGTTCAAGCCGATCCAGAACCAGTGCTGCTCATGGATCTCCGGTTCCGATTCGCTGGAAGAAACCACATGGAGCTGGTGTACTGGGGCAAGGGGAAACACACGTGCTATCTCCTTCCTTTAGCATGGAGCTGGACGGGGGAGCTATTAGGAAGAACACCCAGGGCCAGTTCTAATGCCCCCTGGATGCACAGCAGCGAGAATGGGCAAAACGCAGGGGGTACGTCCCACAATGCATCTGCGAACATGATTTTATCCCCTTCTCCAGGAATACCAATGAGAAAATCACCCGCACTTCAGGCACTCATGTGGGCATGCTTTGCCTACAGCGTACACCCTGCCTATGCACCAGCACTGGCAAAACATACATGTATGCACACATGCACAGCTACACAGACACAGGACATAAAAAATGCCACACAGGACCAGACCAGTGGCCCAGCTAGTCCAAGTACCCTGTCCGAGATGCTTCAGCGGAAGTCACAGGAATCTCCTAGTAGAGAATTATGGAATAACCTGCTCATGGGGAGCGGGGGAGGTCCTCGGGTAGTTATTTAGAGAGGCAGTTTCTGATTGGCTTACGCCCTGTAGCAGAAAGCTTTACACTCTTTGGTTTCAATCTTTACTGTGTACTTCTGGGTGTTCTCATTATCCATATAAATGCATGGAGTCCTGCTAAGGTCTTGGCCTCAGAGAGGTATTGTGGCAATGAGTTCCACAAGCCAATCATTCCTTATGTAAAAAAAGCGTTTCCTCATTTTACAGCTTGCTCCCTATGATTTCACTGAGCAGCTCCTTGTTCTGACGAGGAAGGGTAAATAGCTACACGTTTCTCACCTATCTACTTGCCAATTTCTATTATTACAGGGATATCCATCATCATGGGCTCTGGGCAACTTCTCGAGCCTATTCAGTATTTCATACATCTGTGTCACGTCCTGGTTGCCTCCCCAAAGTAAACCGTTCCTGTCTTTTCCGTCTCTTGCACTATGTACATACATTTACATACACTGTATGTACCTGCTCACACTCAGGTAAGCGTACACGCTTTGCCTACAAAACCGCATGTATACACGGACAATCATGCATGTGAGCACACAGACACATACACATGCATCTATGCATACAAATACATGCATACTCTTGTACACACAGCCACATGGCTGCAAGAGCGTACGTGCACTTGCATAGGCACCTACATCCATGTACATGCACATGCTCCCTTTACAACTGACTCCTCACCCAAAGATCTTGTTCAGGGTGTTGGCCACGAAATGCTCCTCCTCGTAGCTGCCCAGGCTGAGCAGCTGCGCCCCCAGCTCACGGCAGAACAGCTGGGCCAGAATCCAGGTCTTCTTGTCCTGCAGCTTGTCGTAGTTAAACACCTGGCGCGGGGAAGAGGGGCAGACTCACTGCTCTGCTCCATGCCCAGAGCACACCCACAGTTCCCTTCTGCAGCTTCCAAGCCACCGCCCCTCTCGCCAGGGGCATTTTAAGCATGAGGAGATGCTGAGTCCACTCCAGCCCGACCTCTGGTGCACCTGGCTGGGCGGCCGAGGCCTGTCCAGTCACAGTGGATTCTCAGCGGCACAGACCACCCTCTGCAAACCAGGCACCTGCCACTGCACCTCACCCCATGGCCAAGTTTCCCAAAGGTGGGAAAGATCCATGGGCAGTTGGGGCCAGCTCCCCCGGGGGGTCTCCACACTGTGTTTTAAAGAGCCTCAAATGCCTGCAGGTGCCATTCACAGCCCGGTGACACACAGGGCCTGTCCCACAGCACCAGCTGGCCTGTGTAACATGTACCAAGAGCAGCAGAATTTAGCAATGAGTGCAGTGAGCAAGGGACGGGGTGGAGGCTCTCCAGAGCTCGCAGGACCTCATCTGCCATCCCATATACTTATAGTTAGGAAAGCCTCTCGGCCAGCAGCTCTGCCTCCCAGCCCGCCACATCCAGTGCTAGGGATAACGAACTGGCTTGGACAGGCAACCTGCTTTCCATCCTCCACAATGACAGCAGCAGAGAGAGAGAGAGAGACCCAGAGTGGTGTAATTACCCCCTGCCTCCGGCCCCTCACTGCTATGCAGCTTCCCACACGCTGAGGCCAAGGCCCAAGGAGCCTTCTCCACCACTCCCTGCCCAGGAGCCAGCTACACGGCTGGTGCTTGGGCTCTGGACGCCCATGGACTGGGGGAGTCCAGCACCTCCGGCAGCACTGGCTCCCTGAGGTGTTTGGGGAGAGCAGCCCATAACTCTGTCCCACCCTCTCGCCAGCCCAAAGGGCTGGATGGGCGCGGGGTGGGGGTGGGGGTGGGGCTCACCTTGGAACTGGGCCAAGCAGCAGGAGATACATTGTCTGCCTCATCCATGCAAACCTCCAGGAGCTTCTGCCAGGCCTCCACACCCCACCTCCAGGGCAGGGCTGTGGCTTAACGGCATCCTGCCTGGGGAGGGCATGTGTGTGACAGACTCAGACTGGCCGGAGTGCTTCCCTGGGTGCACACTCACTCCCTTCCCTCGCTCTTTACAACCACTGCTGTCTCACCTGCCTCGCAAGGGCACCAGTGAGGGCTCTGCAGGTTGCCTGGTTACCCTGCAGTGGCCTCTGTGTCCATGGCTGGCACAGGGTTGCCAGGTGTCCAGTTTTTGACTGAAAAGTCCAGTCGCAAGGGGGACCTGGCAATGTCTGGTCAGATGTACTGACCGGACACCAAAAGTCCCGTTACCACGGGCATGGGGGAGGATGAGGGAAGGTGGAGAGGATCTAGCTACGAGGAAGGGGGAGAGGAGAGAGGAGCAAACAGGGGGTGGGGCCTTGGGGGAAGAGGGAGAACAGGGGCAGGGACTCAGAGGGGGAAGAGACAGACCTGGGGGCAGGGAGGGTGTTCTGGTTGGACCCGGGTCTCACAGCTGTGCTATTGTGTCCACACCGCACTACACAGAGTTTCTGACTCAGAGCTGCAGCCTGAGCTGCATCCACACTGCAAAATGATGGGGCTTTCATCTGAGCCTCAGAGGGGCTTGGACTCAAACCCAAACCAGGACCTGGATTTAGTGTGCAGGGTGGACAAACGCAGAGAACCCTGCTGTCTTCCTTGGGACACGCTTGCTTCTTACCTTGTAGCAGTGTCGGAGCTTGGGGTCCGAGCTCCATCCCTGGGGGCATGAGCCAGTGAGGCTGGGCGTCGGGTATGGGGCTGGTAACTCGGGGTTCACTGGGGTGCCCAGGTTCTGCCTGCAGATGTATTTGGCCTTGAACGTGCTGCAGTTCTTCACTTCCCATAGCCCCATGGAGCTCCCCGTGGCCAGGGCGACGCAGCCACCCTTGTTGTAACCTGGAACGCTCATGGAAAGGGGGCAGAGAGGGGGACAAGGTTTGAGCCTAGATAGCTGACAGTGGAACCCGGCCACCTACCCTGGCGTAACAGGCCCCTGCCTAGGGACATCGTTGCTGACCCATCCCCCTACCACCAGGTGGGCACCAAGCAGACAGCATGAATACAGACCCCACTGCTGCCCTGGGGCATCCAGGGGACCAGGAGCAGGGGAGGCAGGGCTGGCAGTGCCACCCTCGGGGGGGTGGAATGGGTGGGGAATGGAGAAGTTATGCTACGGGGATGGGGGGCGATGGGGCTAAAACAGCACAGGGACAAGTGGGACCGATCCCCTCCCCATCAGGGCCCCAGGGCCCATAGGAAGGAGAAATGGATGAGAGCCACCAGGTGCACCCCCTACAGGATGCGCCCCAGTGTCCCCTGCTGACTGGTTCCCGTGCTGGGGCTGCTGTGGGAGATCGACCCACAGCCCAAGAGATTGGACGGTGGTGGTGTCTTCTTTTGTCCGGTTCCCTCCCACGGTTCTTCGTTATCCCCCTTTGTGCTTCTCCAGATGGTTCCCCTCCCTGCTTGGGGTCTACTCCTTCACACCCAGGAAGATAGGGAGGTAGAGAGAGCTGATGTCATTAGCTGGCTACTGCTCCTTCTGCCATCGGCATCTGGCCCTGAGCTCCTTGCCACAGCTCTGTTTTCCTGGAGAATGCTCAGGGAACAGAAGCTACCATGCGTCTCGCTGTGGAGGAGAACGATGGGAAATTGGGGAAGGGAGCAAACACCCCCCCCCCAGCTGGCTTCTTTGCCATTACCGGGCTGGTCGCGGTTCCAGTGGGTGTACATGACTTCATCGCCGCTCAGCCAGCGGAAAGCACCCGTCTCGTTGATGTCCTGCAGCGCCGTCCAGAAATACTCACTGTCCCAGCCATAGATGAGGCTGCTGACGTACGCCTGCTCAAACCTGACACGGGAGAGCAGTGGGATGCCCTGCGGTTAATCTTCCTCCTCTGTGGCTCTGGCCCCGAGACATGGGTCTGTTCCTGCCCCCAGCCCTAGTGCTTTGACTCAAGCTGTAGAAACTCAGGCTTTTAGCTCTGGCGATCCCCAGTTCAATCCCCAGTGGCTGTCACACAAGGAGTACAGTCTCAGACACTTACTGCTGTGTGACCCGCTAATTAACTCTGCCTCCTGTTACTCCTTGGCGGAATTCTGCACCTAAAAATTCTGCGCTCAATATTTTAAAATTCTGCAAAATTCTTCATATTTTATTTGTCAAAATAATACCCTATAATAACACCAGTTTCAATTATTTTTGGTCATTTCTTTCAAAATACCTGTCAGCAAGTATGTCTGTCACAATACAGACAACAAAAAAGATTCAGGAAATGTTTTTTGACAAATAGATTCCTTACTAGGCATATTAATACAGAACTCTCAGTAATAATTCATTTAAACTACAATACAGAACAGTATGTCCCAGACTCAGAAGCAGTGCAAAGGCTTGGGGGAGTCAGGGTAATGGAGAAGCTGAGGGAGAGGGAAGTAAATTGCTGGGAAGGAGGCTGGGTGTGAACTTGGAAGGTTGTTGGGTATGGGTGGGAAAAGTATAAAACAGGTTTTTTTGGGGGGTGGGAAGGGATTGTTAGGGTACTTCCCCCATGCAGACCCTGGCTGACCCCTAGCCTCTCCCATTCAGTCAGGCACATCTGCCCCTGTCCCCATGTGTCTCTGTGCCCTCACCCAGCCATTTCCCTGTCCCTATGTCTCCCTGTCCCCCTTCCCCATCCCCATGTGTCTCTGTGCCTCCACTCAGCCACTCCCATGTGTCTCTGTACCTCCTGTGCCCTGTGCTTCCATTCCCATTCAGCCCCTGCCCCAGTCTGTCCTCCTCCACTAGCCCTTATGAGCCCATCTGACCCCCCCCACTCCCGCAGCACGCCATGCTGTCTGTCTCCTCATAGCCCCTGTCTCCTGACCTGGCCTGAGAAGGTCTGAGAAGAAGGCAGCTCTCCCTCTTCCCTTGCTGGCTGCAAGCTGCAGCTTTGCTCTATTGCCACAGCGCTCTCTGCTGGCCAAAAGGCAGAACTGCAGAAGTTATTTTCTGCTGTGAGCTGCTGCGCTCGTGCCACAGCGCCCTCTCGTTGATGCAGTTCCACCTTTTGCCCACATGTCTGCAGAAGCTTTTTTTGTTCAAAAAATTAATTATGCACACAAGCAGTAGCACAGAATTCCCGTAGGAGTATCCTGTGGGAAGTACCATTATCCCCATTACATAGATGGGGGAAAATGGGACATGACTTGCTTCAAGGCTGCAGAGCCAGCCACTCAGTAGCAGAGCTGGAAATAGAAACCAGGGGTCCTCCCTCCCCTTCCCTTCTTCAGACCACAGGCCACCTCTGTTAATGCAGTATTCAGCACCGAGCCGGGGGGGATGGGACTCCAGTGACCTCAGCTAGGGTTATGGGTATGTCCCGGAGGGAATGGAAGCTGAACACCCATGACAGCAGAGCTAATCCCCAGAGCACACCCACCTGTTGGTGATGGTGACAAGGGTGGCCCCATAGTCAATGCACATCTTCCGTGCATCACTGTAGGTCACACGGTCTTCTCCTAGCCAATAGCAGGAGGGGCTGTGCCATTTCCAGCCCTGGGGCAAGAGAAGACAATGATGGTAAGACATCTTGCAGACTTTAGTACCATCTGAGCAGATGTGCTTTCCAAGTGCCCTTTACCCACAATGCATAACTGTCCAGTGGAACTCGCTGCTACAAGATGTTACTGAGGGCAGGAGCCTAGCAGGATTCAGAAAAGGGATCAAACATGTGCATGAATAAGAAGAACCTCTGCAGTTCCACTAGTTAGGATAAAACAATCTGCTGGGGATATAAACCCTCCTGCTTCAGGCCATAAGAAACCACTGATGGCCTGGGGTCAGAAAGAGCTTCTGCCACAGACATGTTATTGAACAAGAGTCCACTAGGGGGTTCATTGCATCCTCCTCTGAAAGCAGCTGATGCTGGCCACAGTTAGAGACAGGAGTCTGGCCTAAGATAGACCTTGGGTTTCAGCCAGACTGGCAATCGCTATGCAAACTAGAATTATTTAGGACAACAGTGTTCTGTCTCATCCAAAACACAGTGGCAAAGAGCCCCCTGCAACTCCTGGGGTACTGGGCTCAGCACGGCTTCAGAGGGAAAAGTGCCATGACCTGACTCACCACCACCACTTCCTGAAACACCCTGTTTTTTCTTGGGAGGTCTCCCAGCCACAGGCTAACCCGGCTTGACCCTGTTTATCTGGTGAGGTCTAACAAGATTGCAGCCCGAGAGGACAGGGCTGCTGAAAAAAACATGGAGGCAGCTTCAAAGTAACAGAAAAATTTGTGTTGCTAACATCCCAGCCCCGATGGGAGGTACAGGGAGGGGAATACAATCCCCTCCTTATGTGGGAAAGCCAAGCAAATAGCAAGTCCCACCGCAGTCCGCTTTAATAGCCCTGGTTTGCTGATGCTGGAGCCTCTCTGGAGTTGGGGACACAATAGGGTCTATTCTCTGCCAGGCAGGAGGGACTGTGCAGAGAGCTCCAGAAATGCTTGGCAAAGGCAGCAGCAGCCCCGGCTGCATGGGGTGGGAGGAAGGGGGCTTGATCACTGCAGAGAAGAGTGAAAGGAAACACTCAGAACAAAGGAAAGAGCCGGGAGGGGATTTTCCTTGCCCAGCCTGAGGCCAGGGCGGGGGAGAAGGAAGGAGGGGCTCAGCTGGAGAAATTGGCCTTGCTCAGGCCTGGGCCACATTGCCACGTTCCCGCACCCTAGGGAAGCTGACAAATCACGTGTGGTGTGAGCAAAGCAGGCTGAGCAGCTTATCCACGCTGTGGGGCCCACATCCCCCTCCCTATCGCCCCCCTAAGTCCCAGCACTCCCAGCCAGTGAGCAAAAGACCATCGTCTCCGCCTTTGCGAGCTGCGCACACTGCCACAACCCACCTCCCACCAACTCCAGCACCAGCAGCTGGCCCCACGGCTACAGCTAAAGTAGCAGGTCCCGTACGGGGGAGCAAAGAGCCATCTCTATAGCCACAGGGCCCGGCCCCGGCGGGATACAGAGTCTCACACTAGCTTTGTGTATTACAAAAGTGCTAGGCAAACCCAGCTAATGAATCCTCACAACCAGAAGCGCAGCAATGTCCAATATGCCAAGGAGGGATGTCAACAGGCTGGAGAGCATGTCCCCTTATCCCTACCTATCCCCACAACCCCCATGCAAGGTAGGGAAGAATTATCATCCACATTTTGCAAATGGGGAAACTGAGGCAAAGACCAAGAGGGATGGCCCTTCCTAAGGCTCACCGAGCACATTAGTGTCAGGTCCAGCATGTGAACTCCCAAGGTCCTGGCTCCGATTGCTTTACTCAGAGCGCTCGCCTGAAAGCGCTTGGAAACCTTTGCGTCAAGTACCACCTGTTCTGAGCATTCTCCCGCTGGAATGCAGCATGTGACAGGGGCAATGGCCTCATGCTAACCCCACCTCTCTTTTCTTGGTGGACTTTTAGCCACAGCCTGAGGCAGAGGCAAAACCTGGGGCAAAAAGTCCCCCCCAGCAACCAGATAGTTATCCAGCCACATATGCAGAGGATTCTATTTCCACAGTGCCACTGGCGTGCCAGGTGCCTTACCACAAGGTATGCAGAGGGCACAGGCACCAAACTTTATTTTTCCCGGTGGGTGCTCCACCCTGCTCCTCCCCAAGGCCCCACCCCCACTTCAATCCTTCCCCGAGGCCTTGCCTCTTCTCCGCCCCCCACCAACCCGCCCACTGCTCGCTGCTCTGCCCTGAGCACCGCCCGCCAGCCAGCTGATTGGCATCCCCGCTGAACAGCTGTGGCTGGTGGGTGCTGAGCACCCCCTATTTTTTTTTCTGTGGGTGCCTGAGCCCCGGAGCACCCATGGAGTCGGCACCTATGGCAGAGCAGATCCTGCCCCAGACAGCCAACAGACCGAAGAGACAACATGCAAAGGAGGACCAGGAGGTGAGGGACAGCCTCAGAAGGCAGCAGCACAAGCTACAGAATGAAGCCCTGATTGCCAAGAAACATCATGATTATTTCTCGAGGACCCTAGAGCATGCTAGGGGTCCCTGGCAGGCAAACAGGAAGAGAGTGATCCCTGCCCAACAGCCCACAATTAAGAGAGAAGACAGAAAGAGGGAAGAGCAGCAATGGGGGAGGGAGGAGGGGGCTGGGAGCGCCAGAGTTACACAGAGAGGGGGGTTGGTGCCTCCTCGTGCATGGCTTCTGATCAGACAACACCGGTGTTGATTATTATTGGTTTACTCCAATTCAGTTGACTTTGTTTGTAAGGAGCAGAGCTGCAGTGAAGATAGTTCCTTTCAGCCAAGGACCTCCTGGCAAAGGTGGGTCGGGATCGTCAGCCTCAGCTCACCAGTGGGGTAACTGAAGCACAGGGGAGGCAGGAGTACAAACAGAACCCAGGAATCCTGGCTCCCAATCCTCACCAAGGAGCACTGCTCGCTAGGGACTCCTGCACCCACCTCTCACTTCCAGCGTGCAGAGTGTGAGACTGAGCCCTATTGTCCCCTCACTTCAATTTGATACCAATGTATCTCCATTAGCGGTCGTGGAGTGACCACTGATTTACCCTGGTGTAAGCAATAGGAGACTCCGGCTCTGAGACCAGGAATTGAACTCACATTTCCCCAGTGGGTTCCAACCCCAGGCTGGCCTACAGTTGTGGGTTACAAACTATTACAGCCTTACAGATCCACCTACATGGAAATCAGCAAGACAGAAGTGGGAGATGGGGGCAGTTCCCTGCCCCTCCCCAACGTCAAGAGAAATAGCATTTAAACGAAGGCTGGGGGAAGGGAGAATGGTACCCTCTGGAGTGGCAGACACCCTCAGGCGTCCCACAACGTGGGTCACCCTCAGAACCTCCCCCCTAGCCCTGGGGACATTCCAGGGGAATTGCAAGCTGTGTTCCTCCAACACTGGCTCTCAAAGGGCTCTGGGACACAGCGGGTTAATACACCAGCCTCTCTCACCCATGAAGACCTGGGTTCAATTATTGCTGAGAAGAAGCTTGGCTGCCCCAGTCCAATCCCTCGTCCACATCTGTCTGCATTACAAAACCACCGCACAGTTTGGCATGGAGAGCAGGCTCTTCTCAGAAGAGGCCCCAGCCGGGAACAATGAAAATTCTTCACAGCAGCATTCAGAGGAGACCTAGGACTGGGGGCTAAGCCAGGGGTGCTGCAGCTCAGGAGCGATGGGTGCTGGAGGAGCCCAGCACTGGCATGGCAGGGTGGGCTGCAGGTGAGGGAAAAGGTGTGTTTAGTCACCAGGAGCTGGCAACACCACCTGCCTGCAGCCCAGATGCTCTGAGCTCCCCCTGATGATCCTGCCCCGCACTACTGTGCACCCTTCTCGGCTGGACGATCAACTGTGATCCTTCAGCCCCCACACCCTGTCCCACTCCTCTTGGTCACCCCCTCCAGCACCACTCTCCATCCATTAGTGCTTCCGGTCCCCCTCTTTCCATGTGCTTGCATCCTCCCTCCCAGAACCCACGTCCCAAGTCCCCTTCTCACCTGCTCCATCCCCCTTCTAACCCAGCCCAATACCTCTCTCTGCTGCCCACCACCCTGCTCACATGGTACCCAAGTGCCTGACTTGCTTGTGGATTTTACACCAATCAATTAGCTGATGGTGGTAGGGGTGGGGGTGAGTATGGATGATGGGGAGGGGGAAGGGAAAAACAAAAGCAGCTCGTTGGCCAACCTGGCAGTGCGGCCTGGGAGAAACATGTCCAAAAGCTTGAGCAGATGGTGTTTCCACTTGCCAAAAACACCACCATGTTTTCTTTATAGGACAAAGCAGCGCGGCTGCTGGCTCCTCCGCAGAAGTCAATGGGCTGGGTACAGGATCCTACAGACCAACCCCAAGGAGCTAGGGCAGGACAGGCTGGGGCTGGTTTAGAAGGAATTTGGGAGAAGGAAGGAGGGTTCTGGGGTGGGCATATTGGGCTGAGAGGCAGATGCCTGGGTTGCACCATCAGCTCTGTCACCCCATGAGCAAGCCAGTGCTTTCTGCCTCTGCGACGCAGGGAGAGAGATACAGGCCTGCTCACAACGCATGACTGCCAGGGAAGTGCACTCCTGGGGCAAGCCATGCAGAAGGGCATCGGGTGGGGGGGCTGGGAGGGGGAGCCATCAGGGCAGAAGCATGGGAGATACTGAGGGGAGGGGGAGACTGTAAGGACAGCACTGGGGGGGGGGGCTGCGAGGACAGATGCATGGGGGGTACTAGGGAACCCTGAGTGAGTGGATGAAGTCTGCAGTGTCCTCAATGCCACTGAGGCAAATCCCCCTCAACAACACACTGATGGCAAGACAGCCTCTGAGACACCTCGATGGAAATCTCAGAGCCCTTGTTCTCCCTCCCCCCTTCCTTCCATGTCCCTGCTCCCTGCCACCATAGGTGTCGTTTGACTTCTGTATTTGGGAGGGTGGCTCCAGTCAGGTCAACGCATGGGTGGGGGTGGACAAATTCCGTGCCTGCCCACAGGGGTGCCATTTCAGATGGAGGGTGCGGGGGAGTGCAATCTTAATCATGGTTCCAGGGGCTATGTGGC